TGAATTTAGAAATCACAGGTGCTTGGACCAGATCAAAGACATGGCCAGAGTGGGGGGCCTAGATCTTGAATTTTAAACAACCAGGAAACTCCCAGAAGTACTTTCATCCGCCTCAGTGAGGCTTCCTTCATTGTGAACAACGGAAGTTAACTCGGGCCGACTTCAGGTGAATGTAATCAAAATACACGAGGTAGCCTGTGTAATGAAGAAAGAGCAAGGAGTGGGCCAGGAACGACAGGAACACAGAGTCACAAGGACCTGAGCGACAGGAACAAACAGCATGTGTGGCCAGGGTGTTGGGGCTGTGAAGTCTCTGCTCCCACGTTCTTTCTTTCCCTCCCCATCTCATTGCCCTCCCAGCTGGGTGTTTTCAGCTGCAGGCAAGAGATCGAGGCTAAAAATGGTTTAATAATAAAGGTATATCAGGGATACCTGGGTGGCTCAGTCAGTTAAGTGTCTGCCTTCGGCTCAGGTCATGATCCCGGGGTCCTGGGATCGATCCCCCAGGGTCCTGGGATCAGTCCCCCCCCAGAGTCCTGGGATTGATCCCTGCACCTGCTCAGTAGAGAGCCAGCTTCTCCCTTTCCCTCTACTGCTCCCCTTGCTTGTGCTCTCTCTCTCTCTCTCTCTCTCTCTGTCAAGTAAACAAATAAAATCTCTCTGTCAAGTAAACAAATAAATATCTTAAAAAAAAAAGATATTTCATTGTCTCGTGGAACAGTGTTCTGGAGATCAGAGGTTTGGGGTTGATGTCAGGCTCTGTATCGCTGATTCTTTGGCTGTTTTCTATCACAAAATGGCTGCCGCCGCTCCAGATGTCTATTCTCTCCCCAGCATTGCAAGCAGGAAGAAAAATGAGTAGCAGAAATAGGGAGGTTCCTTTTTTCTTTAAGGAGGCCTCCTATCACCCTCCCTTTGCAATCTTTTGGTTGAAACTGGTCCCCTGGCCACCGCTAGCCCCAAGGAAGGCTGGGAAAGTGAGTGTCTGGCTCACTTTCTGGATCAGAAGAGCGGTGATTGGCTTACGCCAGCGGGCATCCTCTCCTGGGGCTGGGCATATTGCTGCATGAAACTAAATTAGGACTCTGTTAGTGAGGAGGAAGGGGCAGGGGCTCTCCTGATTCAGATTCCCTGGAAGGAGAGCCCATGAGCGTGGCTCAGGTCACCTTGTCCGAGTCCCAGTGCATGACTGAAAGGTGCCGTGTCAAAAAGGGGCAGGATCCTGTGGCTGGAAGAAGGGAGATGAAAGCTGGGTGCCAAAAGGATACATCTCTACCTCCCTCTCCCTTTGGCCTTTCCAGATATCGGTTGTGGGGGTAGGGGGTGGTGGAGATTTCCAGCCTAGCAAGGACAGGCTCTATAATTTGTGGGACCCAGTACAAAAAAAAATGTGGGAATGCTTTATTCAGAAATTACTAAGAATGTCAAGATGGTGGCCCCAGAGCATGAAACAAATATGGGACTCTTCAGAACACACATGGTAAGCTCTGTTTTTGTATGCAGCTGGATGAAATACATTCATGGATGGAGGGGAAGCCTGTGACTTATAGTTAAAATTCACATATGCCCAGGTGTTCATGCAAACTCTCCGTTAAAGAGCAAAGAAAGGGGTGATCACACCTATTCTGTGTGTACACCTCTGGGAAGAGGCAGAATTCAGGGCAGACGGATTTCTCTGGGAGCTTCCACTGTACCCCAGCTGCAGCAGAGTAAGGGGGATGGCAACTCAGATTTACCCCTCATGCCCATTCAGACGTGGTAAACCCCGTCTATTATTTAACCATCACTGCGGTCTTGTGCAGGGGCACTGTATCATCTGTGTCTTCTAGATGAGGTTGTTGGGGCTCAGAGAGGTTCATGATCATCTGGGGACCATGGTCAAGTTAGGGTTGGAAGCTGGGCAGTCTGAACCCAGAGTCCATGTTCATCAGCACGCTTCAACATTGAACAAGTCTAACAGAGCGGGGGTCGTCGTAAGCAGTCGGCATGGTGAGACCAGTAGGGTTTGACCAGATGCAAAGGGGCTGTTTCTGAGGCTCTTCAAGTCCTGGGACCCATGGAGAGGTGTGCCACAAGAATGTCCCTCCAGCAACAGGAACGGAGGATGGATGACAGCCCCAAGGATGTCACTTGCAGATAAGAGGAGCCTGAACCAGGAAACAAACGTAGTTTTTCTCACCAAAGCAGCTGTCACACATGGTCAATTTCTGAAATGAATCCATAAGCCAGAAACATTTGTCTAAACACTTTAATTAAAATGCATTGTAATAGGATGAAAGCCAGCATCTAAGTGCAGTGTTCATGTTTGCTAAGAAAACAGATGAAAATATTCTAGGTAGCCAAACACATTTTGATAATGAAATTTTACACAGCTTCTGTTTTAATCTTATTTAAAATATTTATATAGTTAAAAAAATAGTTTGCTATTCATTTTCTACCCCAGTACAGGAAATGTGGAGATATTTGAAATCAGTACATATTCAACACACATAAGTAAAAGATTCTGTTTCATCTGCAGAATTACAGTATTCTGAGCTGTACCAGCCATACCTTGGCGACCAACCAGTCCAATTCTATTTGGAGAATAATGTTAGCCTCAAATTCGATTTATCTACTATCCAACTTTCGTGAAAGCATCAAGTCTAATGAAATATCACAGTGAAATTAAGACACCGCTAATCTCATTTCAAAATCAATTTTCTTTCTGGGACAATTCTTGGGAACCTCAAGAATCTCTCGCTTTATATAATAAGCAGTATACATTCAAGGGTTGATATCTAAAAGAATGTGTGTCCATATAAAAAAAAAGATTCCTTATAAAATAAGATCTCACAGTGAAGGTGCCTTTGAAACATTTTGCCATCTATTGGAGGGTAATACATGGACTGTATTGATAGATCTGAAATACTTGGCTATAGATAGAAGCATTCTCTATGCTTGCATCTTAGAATATGCAGTGCAAATATGAGTATGATAAATGGGGATGATGAAGACAAAAATTAGCCCAAACCTCCAGACTTCCCCTATTTGGAAACAGTGCTTACTGTATGAAATTATGCATAAGATTTTTGCGTGTTGCGGCCTTATTTATTTTTTTTAACAGCATGAGATTGGTAACATTGCCAATGCCTGTCCTCGGGAGAGCCGTTCAACATCACGGTCCTTGCATACAATGGACCAGATTGCAGGCATGAAAGATCAGCACGCCCTCCATGTACTAAGAAGGGAGGACCTTCCCAAATAAATCCAAGGAAAAACAACAGCAGCTCTAGTATGTTACTATTTGTGTACAGGGGAAAAAATAAAGAAAAGAAAAGAAAAAAAGAAAGGGTGCAAGGAACTGATGTAGTGGTTCGCTCCCAGCCTGGGCACCAGGGGTAGGAGAGATCATTTGAACTGCGTGGCCGTTCGTATACGTGAAAATATGGTATTGGCTATGAAAGCAAATTAATAAAAGCTTTTTAAATGGCTAAAATCATGCCGCCCATCATTCTATTCAATGTGATGACTCAGATCACGTGGCAAGTCACCAGCTAGATAAATCTGTCACCCTGGGATCTGGAAATGCTTAGAGCAGCCTGGCAACTTCCATATTGTGTCATTTTTTCACAGGGGAGATGAATGTCCTGCGTTCAGTCTGATGGACAAACACACACATTTGCAAGCCCTCGATGGCCCCTGTTGCAGGGCGCAAGGTCCTGTGATTTTACATAAAGTGGGCAGAATCTATTGGAATTCCGGGCCTTTTGTGTTCATTGTTGCCGGTGGAAACAAATAGCCCAATGCTAGTTTTTGTTGTTAATCACCCACTCCCCCAAGAGCCATTAGGTATGCAAATAAAATCCTCCCAATATTCGGTGACTGATTCCTCCCCACCCCACCCACCCCCCTTTTATCTTGAATCATTAAAACAACAGGATTTGGGGATGCCTGGCTGACTCAGTTGGTTGAGTCTGCCTTGGGCTCAGGTCATGATCTCAGGGTCTTGAGATCGAGTCCCTCACTGGGCTCCCTGTTCAGCGGGGAGCCTGCTTCTCCCTCTGCCTGCCGCTCCTCCCTGCTTGTGCTTGCTTTCTCTCTCTGATAGGTAAATAAATAAACCTTTAAAATGAAACAGAACAACAGGTCTTATCTGGAGAAAGTTCAGGAATGTCAGGGATGTCAGCTGTGATTTCTGTCTCCTAGGATTAATGGAAGTTGCTGCCACCACCGTTAGAGCAAGGGTGTGAAAAGCAAACAAGCATGATCCCCTGCAGACCAGACTTGGAGGACGGGCAGGTTCTCCGAATCGCTCCCAGCCCACTGCCGGTAAGCCCACTTGCATTTTATCTGTTTTGAGATACTGGCATCGGCCTGGGAACTGAACACAGCCTGGGGAAGATCCGCACTAACCTCCCTAATGAGCACAAGGTCCCTAACGTGACTGCCCGGGATGGATCGTCAGGTCAGGTGAGCCGGGATTCCCATTTAGTCCAAAGAATATCATAACCGCCCTTTCTGCTGACAAGGTTTTTAAAGAAGTCATCTCTACACCCAACGTGGGGCTTGCACTCAGGACCCTGAAATCAAGAGTCAGATGCCCCATGGGGCTAAGCAAGCCAGGCGCCCCATCTGCCGACAGGTTTTCTATCCTTGAAATGTGGGAGATGAGATTCCAACATTCCATAATAACCCTGTAGCCGCCAACGGAGCTTCCCAGGTGCTGGAGCCCTGTTCTCTGCTCTATCAACTTTTAAAATAGGAAAAGAATTTTGTTCTTAAAAACCATAGTCGGGAGAGGCAGGGTTCTCAGGTGAGGGAACTTAGGGACACGAACACTACATTTGTTGACTTCAAGACGAGCCGTGCCAGAAGCTGAGGCCGGGGCAGGTACGACAGCCTCTATTGTGCCCGGGGAAGCTGGGCCTGCGCGAGCCGGGCGCGGGGCTGGGGACCCGCCTGGGGCGCCGGGAGGGCGCGCCGGCACCTGCCGGGCCGGGAGCGGCGCGCTGGGGGCCGCCTCACTCGCCCTCCTTCTTCTCCTCCGGGATCTCCACCGACAGGGTCTGCTCATCGGGATCCGGGCCCGGGCTCACGCGGATCCGCACGGAGGGCTCTGAGGGCGCGGCCTCCGCCTCCCCGCCTTCCTCGGGCCTCCCACGGGAGGCGGGTGGCGGAGAGCGTGGGGCTGGGGGCTCTGGTTGCTCCGGGGGCTCCGGCTGCGGCGGTGCTGGCTGTTCCGGGGCGGCCGGGCCCGCCTCTCCCGCAGAGTCTTGCGAGCTCTTGGCCTGAAATCCGGAAAGGGCGATTGGTGAGGAGCAGAACGCCGGAGAGTTCTTGGAGGGGTCTTGAACACCTCCCTGTTCCCCTTCTCGGACCCCCAAGGAGGAGGATGGCGGAGCGCTCAGGGGTGCAATCTAATGGATGGGAAGTGGGGGGTCGGAGCGGCATCAGGATTATTTGGTAGAAACAGAATATATTATGGGGAGACTTAGGGATTAAAAGTCCCGGTTGGATTTAGTGGATATTTTTGGTCTCTGCTGATTGGCAGGGCTAGAAGCCAGAGTGAAGTTGCAGGTTCAAGCCCGCTCCTGAGCTATGGAGGAAAGAGAGGCTGTGACCAGGAGGGGGAGCCAGGGAGGACTTTGCAAAGCTAAGCCCAGTCCACCTGGCTGCCCTGTCCACCCTGGTTACCAGAGCTGGATGCTCCTGGGTGAATGAGAAAATTTCTAAGCAAACAAGATAAAGGCTGAGATGGCGCCCTTTCTGGAAGGTCTCAAAGGTGGAGACCCCCACCCCCACCCCCATGCCCCAGGAGAATGGGCAGGCTACCACTGGCATTTGGCTGGGCTGAGCCCCCATATTTGGAGACTTGGTGGGGACTTCCAGCCTCCAGCCTTCGGGGTTCCTGGGGACACTGGCCATAGTCTGTGTATCAGTAAAAATCCAAGCCTTCGTGGATACCCATGACCTGCCCTGCCCTGTGTGACCCACCTCTACTTGGACATAAATGGAAGGGAGAGGCCCACAGAGGAGGAGACCTGAATGGTCCCCAGCTATCCAACACCTACTTGAGATAGTGTAGGTAGATAGTGTAGATAGAGAATTTAAAATGAGAGCAGTCAGCATGCTCCTGAAGAAGAAAAACCCCTTGAGGTTTACTCAAATCACAGAGTGATGAAGGAAGGGAAGTAGGGCGGGGAACCCCACTCCATGTAGAACCCAAGGCAGCTCTGGGGACATGTCCCACTCTCTGCTTCCTTGTTCCTGCATGTTTGGGTGCACCTATTCTGCCTTCTCCTGCTCGTCCTAAACTCTGACAACTCCCTTCCAGGGTGGGATGGTGCCTGTTACGGGACTTCCAGAAGCTTCCTGCTATGAATGGAACCAGAAGAATCATGGGCAGGTTGTCAGGTGGTTCATCATGTTCAAAAGGCTTTTCAAAAGCTCTCCGAGCTATCCTGCTTCATCCCTGTGGCAAGCAGAGGTGATCTGGTCTCAGGGATCGTGAAGCGCTTCCTCAGGGCACGGTGCTGGCGGTGACAGGGCTGGGAATCAGACCCATGTCTCTGGATTGTTATTTCAGAGCTCCTCTGCCATTCTGCCCTGATTGTTCTAAAACTGCCTTTTATTAGAATTCTCATGCAAATTTAATGCACCTCTCTAAGCTGCCTGGGTGAAAAGCTAATAAATACTCCGGAGCAACAAGCCCGGAGAAAGCCTTTCACCGTACTAAGAGCAGTCTTGGAGTTCATGTCCACTCATCCCCACGCAGCAGCCAGCACTAAAGACCCCAGCTTGCTGGCTCGACCTTGACCCTGGCACTTGGTGAGCCAGACAATACTGTGTGTCCTCCATCAGGGGCCAAGGATAACTGCATCTTGAGAATATCTTGGAACCCTGCATAGCTTTGATGTCACCTCCCAGACTCTAGATGTCAAATGGTCTCCAGATGGGTCCCCTGGACGCTGACCGGAGCCTCAATTGAGACTGAGTCCCCGGGCACCTTTGAATTCTGTCGTGTAGACTGCCGCACCCTCCCTGCCACTGAGCTCCTGCCCACCCACCGCCCCCCTTCCCAGCAGCCTCCCTAAAGGACAGTCGTGAATAGTCATAATTAGTGCAATCATTCTAATTGGCATTTTTGGCATTAGTCACAGAAAAGAGTCCCAGAACTAATTTTAAAATTCCCTTCAGATTTCCGAGGGTGGGGACAAGTCAGCATTGTGCCTGTCGGCAGGGTTTTTTCTCTTCAAACCTCTTAAATTGTCACCGACACAAATATTAAATATGAGAACATCACTGCCATCTGGGGAGAGACATTCCCTGCCCACACCCACTGCTCCCACCTCTGCAACAGCACCAGGACTCCCCTTGGGGGGATGGCCCCCCTCAACCCAGGGGTGGGCACAGGAGCCTGGACTCCCCCAGGGCACCACAGCGAGTGGCTCAGGAATTGACACGTGACCCGATTCCGTCCAATGACAGTGAGCCCTGGGAGTTTCGCTGGAGTCACGGGGCAAGAGGGGCTTTCCGTGGGAGCTGCTAAACCAGGACGCCAGCCACCGTAGCGCTCTTGCGATCTGCAGCCATCCTGAGGGAAGCAGCAGTGACGGGATGGCAAAGCGAGTCCCACTGGCAATGTCAGAGATTTTGGGATCCACCCTTGCCTGAACTTTTCCGCTACTTGACCCAATCAATTCCCTGTTCCCTTAAGCTAACGTGAGCTGGCACAGTGACCTGCATTTCTGTCACTTGCCTCCTAAGGCATCTCTACCGACAGGAAGCCGGTGGGGGCGGGGGGTGGCGGGGGCGGGAGGGACGGACATTCCCCACAATGAAAGGTATGGTCCATGCTCTGGCACCAAGTTGGGATGGTGGCTGGTTCCCCACCACGTTACCTGTTCCAGCAGCTGTTGCTGCCTCGCCGCGGCCTCCAACGCAGCCAGCTCTTTGAGCCGGGCCCTCAGGTGGGCAAGCTTGCCGCCTTTGGCCCCCTTGCCGCCCATCTTTCCCGCTACGGCGAGGGCGGTGTTGAAGAGCTTGGGGGTGCCTGCCCGGGGTGGCAGGATGAGCACGCTCTTGGGCTCCTTGGGCTTGTTGTTGTTTCTCAGCATGCGCCTGAAAGAGAGACGTGCCGGCCGGGTCATAAGCTTGCCCCCGGAGAGGAGAAAGGTATGTCTGTGGAAGGCTGTCTGGTGGAGCCCTGGGGGGCGGGGGAGGGGTGGGTCGTCGTCGCTGAGTCTGTGAGCAAGCCCAGAGCTAACTGCTTGATGCACGTATCAGTGAATGATTGGAACGACTGGAATGACATGGGTCTTACGGTCTGGACGTTCTAGAGGAGGGATCGGAGGCTCAGAGGGGCTGAGTCACTTTTGTGAGGTCACACAGGAAATACTGAATGATGTTATAATAGATGGACTCAGAAACAGGGTACCCAGATGAAAAAAGACCAAAGCTTTTCTTCTCTTCCTTTGGCTTTTTTGTCATGTCACCATCCTTGCTGTCACCTCTGTTAACACTTAATGAGTAACTATACGTGTCAGGCCCTGGGCTTGGTCCTTTATAGGTGTTCTGGTGGCCCCTGGGGGTGCCCCGTCCTGGTGTCTGTGTCTCTGTGTGATCCCCTCCCATCGAGGGCGAGGGGAATGGGTGATTTGCTTTTGACCAGTAGAATACAGTGATGATGATGAGACATCCCCTTTGTGAACATGTCACAGAGGAAGGCGATCACTGTCTTGCAAGGACACTCTCCCTTCCCGACTTTGCTGCAGCCAGGGGCCATGCCTGGGGGAGGCCCACGTGGCAAGAACCAAGGACAGCCACCAGCCAACAATTAGCTGGGAACAGAGGCCTCCAGTGCTACAACCACAGGGAACAGAATTCAGGTGACCTTGGAAGCAGGTCCTTCCCCACGGGAGACTTGAGATGAGACTCAGCTCTGGCCAGCACCTTGATGATGGCCTTGGAACAGACCCACCAAAGCTGTCCCAGACTTGTGACTCACAGAAACTCTGCGGTAATACGTATATATGCTTTTAAGCTACTGAACGTGTGATACGGATAATCAATACATACTTTGTCATTTAAATCCCACAAAATCCTCTTAGGAAGGCCCCTATTTTTCTCCCTCATTTCAAATAGATATGGAAGACCAGAAGGGGTAAGAAATTTTCCCAAGGTTACACAGCTAGGAAGTGGCAGGGGCAGAATTAAACTCAGATCTAGGGGCACCTGGGTGGCTCAGTGGGTTAACCCTCTGCCTTCAGCTTAGGTCATGATCTCGGGGAGTCCTGGGATCGAGCCCCGCATGAGGACATCTACTCAGCAGGGAGCCTGCTTTCCCCCCCTCTCTCTGCCTGCCTCTCTGCCTACTCGTGATCTCTCCCTCTGTCACATAAATGAATAAAATCTTAAAAAAACAAAAAACAACCTCAGATCTAAAGGCAGTATGCCACCCTGCTCTGTAAATAAGGATAGACTCTTCCATGGAACAGAGAGCCCCAGCCTTTGATAGGAATTGTTCACGTTATAGATACGTGATGCATGATTTGGCTCAAGAACAAATGGATTTCATCTGCAATCTAGCAGGCCTAGACTCCTAATTGGCAAATTCATTCATCAGGGCTCCAGCAAACTTGTTTGTTTAAAAATGAGGCCGTTGCTGGCTGCTTATCTAATCAGAGGCAATGGATTTAAATTGTGCATATTGATATTAATTGGCCAAGACTGGCGTTTTCTGGCTGGGGCTCCCCCAGGAGAACACAAACACGAGAATTCAGAGAATTCATCCGAGGCCTCTTCATGCCTGGCACCGTCACCTATGTTATTCAGTCCATAATTCACAGCACGACAGTCTGTGGGAAGGCTCAGTGTGGTTCAGAGATGACATAAAAGAACTCTCTGTGGGACCTTTTCTGAGGGCTAATGGCCGTCTCTCTTTTGAAACATTGCGCTGGCTTCTGGGACGTCTCCAGAGTCAGGAAAATTTCTCCTCACTTTCAGATGACGTGTTTTCCTATAAGCAGGATCGCACATTCACCCCTGGAGAAAGTGGCATGCATGAAAGCTTTTTGCCCCATCTCTTGGAGCAGCCAAGCCAGAGAGCTGAGCCCTCCCTGTCTCTGGGGCCCCAGGTCCCCCATCTGTAGAGCAGGGAGCTGAGACAGAATCCCACACATGGCTCTCATCAGCTCAGACGTCCCAGGCCCTGGGGTTCTCAGACCGTGTTTTTCCTTTGATGGGCAGAGCTTCCTCACCACCCCTTGCCTCTGTCCTGAAGCCTGCCTGTCCAGGGAGCCCGGCTCTCTGATGAATCAGGCCACAGGGCTGGTCCCAGGACCTCTGTGTGGCAGGACCGGATGGCTCCTCCTCTCTCCGCACCTTCTCCAGCGCGGGGCGGCATGCTCTCCGCACACGGGTCAGCAGCCTCTGCAGGATCCTAGCTGACTGGCCGAGCCCTCACCTACCCTAGCCAAAGGAGTGGGTGGCAGCTACAAACCTGGCTTTCATGGCCTCGCTCCTCTTGCGTGGGGGAGGAAGGGCGGGCGGGGGCCGTGGGGACAGTGCGCGCTCTCAGACAGAAATGGTAGAATTCTCAGTATTCGAGGTCATTCGGTGGAGACCCTACAAATGCTGCATTACTGAACACCAAAACCATCGCTTCCAGTGGAATTACAGGGTTAGGTTTCTGGTGAGCCTCTCATGACAACACTTTAGCAACTGATCAATACTTGTTTGTGTTCCTGTTTAACGACATCTGATCGAACCTGCAGTTTCATTAACATTGAACTCATCCCCCACAGCTCTGTGAGCCATGCCTGAGCAGAGTTTATCCAACCCGCGTGCCTTCTCCGTCCGGGACATCCCAGCCTCCCTGCCCTGGGGAACGCACCTCAGCACCACACTTTGGGGCGACATCACCAACGACAATCACAGAACTATGGACACTGCGGCGCTGTACAGCCCACGGAAAGACTCTTGTTGACCAGTGTTCAGACGCTTCTGGGTTGAAACAATAAAGCAGAGCGTCCCCTTGGTCAGCTTCTGCTGGGAACGTGCACTTAGGACAACTCAAATCTCTCACTGCTCTCTCTACGCATATCCGCAAATGACTGGGGCTGCCCATGAGTGCTGATTTGGGGGTTCTGAACACATTTCAGTGAGTAGGTGAATTGCAGATACAGAATCGCAAATACATGAGTAATGAGGACTGACTGTGCTTCCCTGCTCCTCGGGAGAGTCAGGGGAAGTGGGCAGATTTGGTGGGAGAAGGTCGGACAGACCAGCCTTCGGAAGGACCCCATAGCTTCCTTAAGAGCGAACTGGTAAGTTGAGTTACGGGGCAGCTTCCTTACTCAGGGGACCCCCCAGCATCCTGTGTGTATTATGCTCTAACCTCGACATGGCATCCTCTCACCTGGGCTTGCCAAAGGGGTCCTGTGAAAACCTAAGTCACATCAAGTCACCAGTCTGTGTAAAACCATACAAAGCTGCCATCTCCCTCAGACCAAGACCCAAAGCCACTGCAGGGCTTCACCTCCAAGACCTACCCACTCTCATCCCCTTGACTGCTCCCATCCCGCGTCAAGCTATGCTTATTTTCTGGCTGGTCTGCCCACACACACTGAGGCTGCTCCTCCGCAGGGCCTTTCCAGCTGCTGTTCCCTCTGGCTGGAATGCTCTTCCCTGCAAGCAGTCCCGCTCACTCTTTCATTCTGTGCAGGTCTCCCCTGAAATTCCACTTCCTCAGAATGGCTTTTCCTGAGCAACCTATCTCAAGGAACTCCCTTCCTCACCTATGTCTCCTCCGTGTGGCTTTCTGTTTCCTCATAGCTGACACATCACAGAATCATTCATTTCACTATGGTCGGCCTCCCCTAGTAGAAAGGCAACTTTATTTGGTCCCTGCTGTGTCCCCGGGGCCCAGAACTATGTGCTCAGTAAATGATTATGAGCTATGAGTGGATGTTGGTAAGTTTGTGCCCTTTATCATGACCTCCCTCTGTGTAGTTTATTTTTTGTGTCATTTCATAGAATGAGATAGAAAATAGGAATATGGGTAAAAGGCAATGGAGGAAAAACTAGATATGTAGATTTAAAAGGCTTCATCTAGGGGTGCCTGGGTGGCTCAGTGGGTTAAAGCCTCTGCCTTCGGCTCAGGTCATGATCCCAGGGTCCTGGGATCCGGCCCCGAGTTGGGCTCTCTGCTCGGCAGGGAGGCTGCTTCCTCCTCCCTCTCTCTCTCTACCTACTTGTGATCTCTGTCTGTCAAATAAATAAATAAAAATAATTTTAAAAAAATAATAATAAATTTTAAAAAAAAATTTAAAAAATTAAAAAAATAATAATAATTTAAAAAAATAAATAAAAGGCTTCATCCAATGGGAAAATTACAGAGATAATTTAATGGATAAAGAGGAACAATTATTATTATGAACATTCACTGAGCTCTCCCACATGTCAGGTATCCTGCTGGAGACATTCGCACACACGCTATTTTATTTAATTTTCCCAAAAACAAAGTAAGGGGTTAACATACTCTTATTTTACAGAATTGCAGAAAACTGAGACCAGAGAAGTTAAGCAACTTTTTCAAGGCCACACAGCCAATACCTTAAATGGATAGGACATGAGCCCCATCACCTTCCCAAGCCTGTTGTAGATTTTTCTAGCACACCCATGCTGCCTCTGTCACTCAGCTTAAAACCTGATCTTAAGGATCTGAAAGCAAAAACCTGCTTCTCTAAAAAGTTACCCACTCTAGGGGCACCTGGGTGGCTCAGTGGGTTAAGCCTCTGACTTTGGCTCAGGTCATGATCTCAGGGTCCTGGGATCAAGCCCCACATCAGGCTCTCTGCTCCACGGGGAGCCTGCTTCCTCCTCTCTCTCTCTGCCTGCCTCTACGCCTACTTGTGATCTGTCAAATAAATTTAAAAAATATTTTTTAAAAATAAATAAAAAATAAAAGGTTACCCACTCCTCAACAGTACAAAATACAGAGGCACAACATTATTCACTGTGATGCTGTTTATAATTGCAAAATATTGGAACTCTAACTCCCCATTCATAGGAATGCTCTGCAACTGTCAGAGGAATGAGGAAACTGATGGGTCTATGGACTGAGAGAGAACGTTTTCCAGGATCGGTTGGTGTGAAAAAAAAGCAAAGTTTAAAAGAAAATCTATAGTATGCTACGTTTTGAGTAAGAAGGGGAAAATAAAATATTCACCCATCTGCCTATTTTTGCAAAAGGAAACAACTCTAAGGAAGCAGCAGAAACTAATGAGACTGGGCTCCTGTAGGGCTGGGCACAACAAGTCAGGGGAGCTGGGACTTCTCCAGGCACACCATTTTGTTGCATTGTGACTTGCAGTACCCTGCTAATGCTTGACATATTCAAAACAACAATAAATCAACAAGGATCAGGGCAGGAGGAATCATAAAAGAAGAGAGCGCAAACTGAAACATGAGGCTGGGCAGATTTCAAATGAACGACCGTCCTTAAGGGAGGCAAAAGAAAATGAATCCAAATAACTCTGAACATAACACTTACCTCATAGGTACTTAGGCTAATGACAAGAAGAACAGCACCAAATATTAAATTCTGCTGGGAAGGCTTCCCCACCACCCCAGGGCTTTGGGATAGCAATTCTGAAATTTCTTTGTCTGTATTATAGGACTGAATAAATGAGTGAACGTGATGAGGGTAAAGAGAGTCAAATTTCTCAGTGATAGGGAAGGAATTTACAAAATATGGAAAAGGAGAAGATTAGAAAGACTCTGTGGTGTTGGACCGAAATTGTTAGATGGATACAGATAGAGATACAGATGGACAAATGCAAGTTGATATATACACAGACTTAGATGCGTGTGTATATGTAGATTTGCAATTGTATATATACTGGTGGGCATGTGGGCGTGTTTCCCAGCTCTGTCCACTTGGGAGCCTAGAAGCCATGAGCACACACAGTGCACAGATGGTGGTTTCTAAAAACCATTCCCACGTGCAAGGAATCAAGGTTCCTTGGAGAAATGGCCATTTCCAGGCATGTGGCAGAGAAAGTCACAAGATGAGCCTGGAGCATCTCACTGTGCTTGTAAGCAAGGAAGAGCTGAAATATTTCGGAGACATAACAAGGAGTCACAAGGGCCAGGCTGAAGAGGGGCCTCCTGGCCAAATCAGGAACAATCTGAGCACTAAAGGGTGATTGTAACAGGATATTTACAGAACAAAACAAATCCACATTGATATAGATAAATGAATAAGCGAAGAAATGGGAAAGAAGAGGAAGCTCTTCCTCACAGTAGAAGGCTCCTAATAAATGTGGAAGGCATGACAGAATCAGAAAAATCACCATTCTGCAACCATGATGGCAATCGCTGATTTAGCAAGGAGCTCTCAGTGGATGCTGAATGTATCAAATGAAGGCTTACTTGATGGGAAACAGGAGGTCTAGATAGCTTCAGACTGACTCCCCACTAAATACTTATTAATTACAAAGAGAAAAATGTTAACTCTAGAGTGCAGAAACCTTACCAAGTGATCAAAGGGAAAATCATCAATACTGGGAGAAACCAGCAGCTGGTGCCTCTTGATATGCTGCACTAAGAAGAATGCAACATCACTTTTTTTTTTTTTTTTTAAGTAGGCTCCATGCCCAACGTGGGGCTTGAAATCACAACCTTGAGATCAAGAGTTGCACACACTACCAAGGGAGCCAGCCAGGTGCCCCACAACATCACTTCTCAGACATTCCTTCCCCCATGCAGAACCTGAAGATAATCATGAGAAAACATCAGAACATCAGCTAACCCTAGGTGAAGGGACATCCTGCAAAATAATAGGCCTGTCCTCTTCAAAGAAGTCCAAGTCACCAAAGACGGAAAAAGGCTGAGGGGCCATCCCAGATCCAAGGAGACTGAAGATACGAGCCTATGTGATGAAACTGGGGAAACCCACACTGGATCCAGGAACAGAAAAGAAGACAGAAAAGGCCACAAAAGACATGATTGGGACAATTGGCCAAATCTGAAGATGGATTGGGGATGAGGTAGTAGCATCATTTCAATTCTGAATTTCCTGATTGGGATAAGGTACTATGGTAGGTAAGATAAAGGTTTAGTCCTCAAGAAATATGCACTGACAGATATGTGGATTTTTTCTTTTAAATAAAAAAATGTACCTGGCTTTCTTCCGGAGTAACTTCTGAGACTCAGGATAATGCACCAAAATTTCATTCAGGTCCTTCTTGTCCAGAATGAAGAGGTTGGTAAACCCGTGGGCGACCACATTGGCCGTGCGCCGATTCCCGCCCCCAACAGCCAGCAAGCTGGGGCAGAGAAGGGGGGAGGTGAGACCTGGCAGGCTGGGGTTGGGATCCCGCTAAAATGTCCCTTTCCTCCCGTTGCCCAGAGCAGAGGGCGGCCCCACACACCCAAGAGCTGGGTCCCACCCCCATATCAGCATCCACGCATGGCTTCCTCAGACCCGCCAAAGGGTCCCCTGAGGATGAGGTCCCCCCCTTGGCTACCACCACCACAGCTTGCCCAGGTCTGCCCATCTTATCCCAGCTCCCCCCTGACCTTATTTCTCCAAACACGGATCCAGCCTTCAGTGTCACCAGCACGGCCTTCCCATCGGGGCCACCCAGGACCTGCACCTGTCCCGCCTGGATGATGTACATCTCTCGACCAATCTCCCCCTGAAACAGAGAAGTGCTGAGCCCCTCTGCCATCATCAGAAGTGACCAGAAGACTGGCAGGGCTGTGCCCGGAGGCCGCTGGCACAGAGCAGAGGAACCTGGGGTGGCGTCCAGCCCACTACTGACATGGTGTGTGGAGCAAGGCCACTCGCTTCCTCTCTGGGGCCTCAGTCTCCCCGTCTGTGGATTGGGAAGAGTGACCACCTCTGGCCTGCCTGATGAGATTCTGTGGGGGAGTTAGTGGTGTGATGGAGAGGAAAGTGCTAGGTTAGCGAGAAGGTGCAAGTGTAATGGTATTCTACAAATTCCCAATTATACACGCCAATGGAGGGCCAGAGATATGGAAAAAATTAGCAGTGGTTCATACAGTATGTTGATACCTGTGCCTAGGACGTGTCACCTTAGGAGCTCGGTAAGCATTTGCTAGGAGAAACAGCAGTGATAACGATATCGGTCACGAAGTCCAGCTCTCGTGCGACATTTTTCTGAGCGAGGCATTGCTCTAAGTGCTGGGTCTGCTTAGTCCCTCCACAGCTCTGGGGTAGGAATCCTTTGCCCAACGTTGCAAAGCTAGGGCCTGGGAAAGTGGGGATCGGGGCCCAGTCTGGTTTCAGACCTCATGGGTGCTGTGGGTTGAATGGTGTCCCTCCCAAATCCATATGTTGAAGTCCTCACCCCCAGATGCTCAGAATGTGACCTTTGGAGATAGGGTCATTGCAGATTTCATTCGTTAAGTTGAGATGAGGTCATTCTGGAGGTGAGTGGGCCCCTAATCCAGTGTGACTGGTGTCCCTCTTAAGGGGATATTTGGACACAAAGACAGGCATACCGAGATGACGATGTAAAGTTACACAGGGAGAGGACAGCCATCTATATGCCAAGGAGAGAGGAACAGATCCCTCCCTCACAGCCCCAAGAAGGAGCCAATCCCACTGACACCTTGGTATTGGACTCCCAGCCTCCAGAACTGAGACACAATGCATTTCTGTTGCTTAAGCTGCCCAGTCTCTGGTCCTTCGTCAGAGCAGCTGTAGCAGACTAAGGCAATGGTCTTAATCCCAAGTTAGAGCAAATGAATGGACGCATGCCTGCTTGAATGGCTTGCTTTGGACTGCAATCAGAAATACGCAGGCTGGGCGCCTGGGTGGCTCAGTCGGTTAAGCGTCTGCCTTCAGGTCAGGTCTCGATCCCAGGGTCCTGGGATGGGGCTACACATCGCACTCCCCGCTCAGCAGGGAGTGTGCTTCTCCCTTTCCCTCTGCCCCCTGCTCATGCTCTCTTGCTCTATCTCAAATAAAATCTCTTAAAATTAAAAAAAGAAAAGAAATACCCAGTCTGCCATGCACCTTCTAATCCTCATGCCCTCACAACGCCTCTCTCCCTGTCCATCACACCTGACATGTTTAAGAGGAGAGACAGCAAGGATAGGTCATTGATGACACCTTGGATTCATTCAACAAACGTTTCCTGGGCTTCTCACACAGGCATGGGAGCCTTAACAGGAAGAAAGCTTCGTGTCCCTGTTTCTGTGTCCAATTTGACACGGGGCTGAAGGGTCTACAGAGCTCCCCCTCAGCCCTGGGATGGGCGGCGGGGGTGGGGGTGGGGTGCCTGGTGTCCCAGGGGTGACTCAGCGAGATCATCACATAGCAAAACTGGACAGCAGGGGGCACCATTCACACTTGCTTATCAAGTGTTCACTTCAAGGTCCCTCTGCCAACCCCCTCCACCTCGTTCAGCCTTCCTCATTTGCCAGCAAGTTCTACATTACCCCCAAAGATAGCTATAGCAGCAATGGCACCTAGCTCTGTAGGTACAGCTGATTCAACCTTCACAACCCCCCCGCCCCCAACCCTGGGAGGGAATACCGGCAACATCCCTACTTCACCCACGAGAAGAGACTCAGAGAGGGTAAGCCACTGCCCCAAGGCGGCACAGCTAGGAAGGAGCCTGTGTCAGACAAATCACTCTATTGCTCTCAATCCCCTCTTGGCCTCTAGGGCTGCAGCTTTAAGTTTTCAACCACCTGTAGCACTGTTTCCCCATTTCTCCAGGCTCTCCGCTTCCAGAAACTTCACTGCTATACGGCATACAACTTGGAGATGGGGGCCTTCTTGGGCTGAAGTTTTCTGAGTCGCACAGGGGTTGCGTGGGCATTATTTTCACCTCTGTACACACACCCAGACTTTACAGCCCTGTAACAAGGGGACTGAATTCCAAGTTCGCGACCTTCCGCCCTAACCACTCACTCCCCAGAGGGCACTGGTCTCACCTTGAATGGGGAATGGGAGCAGAAACGGCCTTGACACTGGGTATCCCTAGGTTCAAGTGCAAGTATTTTCCAGGATCGGATGGGTGGTTGAAGGAGTGAAGAGAGCCTGGTATGGGACAGCGGGGAAAGGTGGGGCCTGTGGCATTGGGAGGGAGGGTGCCATCCTCTTTGGGGGCAACCCCTTCTCCACCCAGTTGACTCTTGCTATTTGGGAAAATGGGGCTCTGTTTTTAGCTAGAAATCTGGATTTTTATGTGAAACCTTCATATTTGTAAAGGTTGGGGACAAAGTCAACATTTTTTTTTTAAGATTAGGAAAAAAAAGAACCCCTAAAAAACCACAAAACACTGTATGGGCTGCTCCTATGAGAAGGCCCTCGTTTGCAGCCTGTGACCTATCCCAGGCACCCCCCCCCACTCCGTTTTCCTGATAGGAAGACCAAGACCCTGGAAGCTGTTCCATCGGCAGAGTCAGGGCCCTACCTCTCGTGAGGCTCCTCACTTTCCTTTTCTGGAAAGTGGGGTTCCTCGCCCTGGCTCCCCTGGTCCTGTGTCAAGGGAACAAGGTCTGAGGCGCACTGGAGCTCAGTGCCCGCCTGGGGCCAGACAAAGGCTCCTCGGGCCAAACAAGACGGGAGGCCTGGGCGCAGCTCTCCCTGGGCTTGCCGACCCTCCTGGCCTTCAGAGGCACCCCCTTCTGCCCAGCTCAAGGCCGGCGGGCGTGCTGGGAACCTCAGCTGGCCTTGCAGCTGTCTGGGGCCACCCACCTTCTTGCACACGTAGTCGTTGGGCAGGTAGACGACAGAACGGAGCCTCTTCAGCATGTCAAAGATCAGCTGTCGGTCACAGCCCTGTCCCCAAGAGGAGGGGGAAAGAATGCCCATTTAGAGGAGGGTGGGGTCTTGGGGCTCCCCAGAACCCCGGGGACAGGGGTGCTGGGTGGGCACTACCTGGAAGAGAGCCACTTTGCTGACGATGTTATAGTTCACGTCGATGGCAAGGTCCAAACGCATCTTGTCTGGAAGCTGCACCATCAGTTCTGACTCGTCTGCAAAGGAGACACTGGCAACAATCAGAGGCACATCCCGCCACCCCCCTGCCCCCACACATGCACACACAGGGCCACACCATTCCTCTGCCACCCAGAGCCACACTGTATTGGAAGAGTTCCTCTCTGGGCTTTTTTCCCTCTGTGGGGAACACCACCATGTACTTCCTTAGTTAACTTCTACTGCTTCTTTAGAACCCCTTACTAAATGTCACCTCCTCCAGGAAGCCTTCCCTCAAGATCCCCACACCGACTATTAGGTTCAGCAGTCTCTGTGTGGGCGCGCTGACCACACCCCTTATTGCAACGGTTTGCTCCTGCTAGTCTGTGCTTCTCACGCTCTGAGGACGTTAGCAAGAGCTAGAGTACATCGAACACTCTTTTTACAGAGTGTTTTACAAAGATGGTTGTATTAAATCCTCCCAACAACCCAACAGGTGCCCACTACCACCATGCCCAGTTTACAGAAACTATAACAGAAACTGCCAGGCAGGGGCGGGGGGGTGGAGAATGGAGTCCGTATCCCACCTGGGTCCGTGGTGCTCCAGGGCCTGTCCCAGTCTGCTTTGCCCATGATGAGGGCTGAGTGCCCAGCAGAGAGCCTGGCATGGAATGAATGCCTGTACTAGGGATGGGAAATGAACTAACTTGACCTAATCTTGATGCCCCTCCCACTGTACCACAATCATTCATGGGTTCAGGTGCGGATCTGCATGACCTGGGCAGCTGGAAACCCGCTCTGGTCCTTCATATGTGCCCCTGGAGAAGGGGGCAATGATTTAGATGTCACAGGGCTGTCCCTGGAATGGAATGACGCGACGGAGGGAACCATGCCTTGTACAGAGTGAGCGCACCAGCCAGGGACACTAACGCTGCCTCGACTGCTCGCTGTCCACCCTTGGCTCGGGAGACCTTGGAGCTCAAGTGTGGCTTCTTTGAGGCCAGAGGGAAGCCCGTGGAAGCAGGGGGCCCTTGAATAAGCTGAGTGTGTTGAGGGACCCTAAGACACAGTGCCAGTGGCCCACCAGCTCATCAGTAGCCTCCAGAATGATGTCTAAGCTCTGAAAACAAAATTACTAGCTCCCAAAGATAAAAAGAGAGAGAGAGAGAGACCGGGGTGGGGGGAAATTGTGACTTAATTAACACAGAAGTAGCATATTCACATTTCATTAAGCATTCCATTTCCAATTCAGGAAAACGGTACTACACCTGAAAACAGTGCACAGGTCAGATTCTCCCACTTCCCAGGAATTACTGAGTACACCCCATCATTGCCAAAAAAGGAGAAACAGTGGGGAGTTATATGCATTGTTGCAGCCGAAGAATTTCAGAAGCAAAGCATAACATCAAGTTTACAAAAAGTGTATGTGTAGGGGCACATGGGTGGCTCAGTCGGTTAAGTGTCTGTCTTCAGCTCAGATCATGATCCCAGGTTGCTGGGGTCGAGTCCCACATTGGGCTCCCTGCTCAGTGGGGTGTCTGCTTCTATTCTACCCTTCCTCCCTGCTCGTGTTCGATCTCTCTCTCACTCTCAAATAAGTAAATAAAATCTTTAAATATATATGTGTGTGTATGTATGTCTATGGAAAGAGAAGAGAGGGGATCTTCCTTCTGTCCTGATTTCAGCTGTACTTCCATCTCTGAGAGGGATGCATTTCAAGGCAGGGGAAGAGAAGGGAGGGCAGGCAGGACATCCAAAAGACAAGGCCCTCAAGTCTTCAGGGGTCTCCTGATGGCCCAGCTTGGGGCACCTCATGGGCTTCCCTGGGCCCCCCTCACTTGAATATGTTGGGGCCACAGCCAAGAGGCACCAGTGCTCAGGACCTCAGGGACACGTGTTAGAGGGACACAGGACCGGGGGATAGCTGGTAGGAGGAGGGAGGGGTGTCAGAGAGGAGGGGGCAGGGGATAGCTGGTGGTAGCTGGGGCACCTGTCTTACCCAGCATGCCTTGGGACTGCCAGGTGTACTCGTACCAGGTCTTGACCCGGTTCTGCACGGACCTGGGGATCTTGTAGAAGTTCATGTACTTCACAGTGCTGTCCATGCAGCTGCGGTAGTAGGTCTGCCCGGCGGTGGCGGCCCCCACCACGTCTCTCATCTAGGCGCAAGGAGGAAGCGTCAAGGGGCAGAGTGGGGCTTTGGGCCCATGCGTTGTGAGCATGTGTATCTACTCGGACTGGGGGTGCATGAGGAAGGGGCCCAGGAGAGAGGGGACCCATGTCCGCACACAGAGGAGGCTACGGACAGGAGAAGTTCTGCTTCCAGTGTGGACATGGGAAGGGCGGGGTGAGGCTGTGGAGAACAGCACCTGCTATGAGGAAATGCCTCGCTGGGCCGGGCTAATTGTGGTCTGACCTGGCCCCCTCGGTGCCAGAGGCCACTTCGACCTCACTGGAGGAAATGTGAACCTGGTGTACTACTCCTTGTGACAGGACTGGATTCTGAGGCCATGGGACTGTGGCTTCAGGCAATGATTAGAATAAGAGATGCACCCCTGCACATTAGACACACCCAGGGGTTTCTCTCCAGGGGAGCAACCCAAATCCCCAGCCTTTGCAGAAAGCCTTTCAGCCTAGCTCTCCAAAGATATCCCAAAGGGACCGACCTTTCCAGTGGAAGCCAGCGTAGAGAAGAATGGGACCTAGACCTCTACCCCGTCCCCTTCACCCAGCAGGTCCCAGAGCTCTAGGCTCCTGAGTCCAGTCCTGCGGTCTCTCCTGGACTTAGTCCGAAAGAAATGACCACAGCTGGTGACATTTCTGACAGCAGTGGGAGGGAGAGGGGCCCTGCGGGCAGGCGGGTGGCAAGCTATAGCTACCTGTCCGATCATCACAGAGAAAGCGAAGACACCCGTGAAGTAGTTCAGGCCCTGGAAGACGATTTCAAAGAGCGTTCTGGGGTCAGGCAGCCCACCAATGGTGATGAGCGTCTTCACAGCCCAGTAGTAACAGCGAATGTAACTAGAGAGAGAAGAGGAAGGGGACCTCGGTCAGCAAAGGCCCCCTTTTGCTGAGTCTGGGGGGCTTGGCTCTGATGGATGTGCAGTACACAGAAAAGAAAACCCTTTATTTCTACGTGCAGGGAAAGGAGCCTAACAGCCACAGGGCACACGGTGTGCAGAGCACGTGCACAGATACAGAGGCATGTTGTCTCCTCTGTTTACATATGGGGAAACTGAGGCTCCAGGAGACTGCTAGAAAGACTTGGCAGGAGGGTAGACCAGGGTCTTCTGACTTCTGATGCCTGGACTCCTTGATATTATTTCAATTTCCACTACCTTCCCTTTGCCATCCTGGCATGTTGGTTCCCAAAAACCGAAAGCCATGTCTAACTTGGAAGATATCTCAAGGACCACGTTTTCTGACCCTCTCCCCTGCCCATCTCTTTTCCAGATGGGGAAACTGAGGCCCCAGAAGGCAAAGGAAACACTCATGGTCACCAGTGGGCCAGGTCCAGAGCTGGGATTAGAATTCAGGCTGTCATCTGCCTCTCTGAGCCGTCATTCACAGTTGGTAACGCTTCTCCTTGGGTGCACGAACCAGGGAAGGGAGGTATGGGCGTGGGAGATGCCCTAAGCTTATCTCATTATCACAGAGGAGTAAGAGTCCCTCATACATCTGTTCACACCTTCAGGCTTGGCCATCCCAGGGGTGTCAGCAGTGGGTGAGGTCAGCAGGGCTCAAGGACAAGACAATCCCAGCTGGCTTTCCTGTGCCTTCCTATCTTCCTACCTGGGCACACAGGTGGTGTCCGGAGCCTGCCCTGACCCCAATGTCCTGATATACCCACATTTTTGAGGTCCCTGCTCAGCTCCAAAATCAAGACCATCATCCACTGGCAAATCACCCAGTCTGGGGATGACCCCAAGCGGGTCCTCCCCTGGACTCCGTTCACCAGCTAGTTCTGCAGAGTCATAGTTAGAACATGGGCTCTGGACGGGACTGCCTGGGCTCAAACCCAGCTCTGTCACTTCCTAGCCGCCTAATGAGGACAAATTACTAATCTCAGCAAGCTTCGACTTCTTTCTCCTACGGTGGACATGGCACCACAGAGTGATCGTGAGGACAAAATGAGGTAGCAAAAGATGCCTGGGACATGACGGCCTCTCAGCCTTCTCTGTCACTGGTACCTGCCACATGCCTGCGGTTAGGGAACAACAGACTCACCAGTGTCCTCAAGAAGCTTACCATCTAGTGCAGACAGGCAAGAAATCGTGCAAAGAATACTGGGAGGGGGAAGCCCAGAGCTTGTTGGTGAGTTATGTTGGAGGGGGTCTCTGTCTCTGACCACTAGCTGGGAGGCCTGGGCTGGGCGCTGCGCCACCCTGCACCTCATTCACCACCTGGTGCATAGAAATTTCTGAACAACACGCGGCTCCCCCATGAAGCCCCCGTCATACTGTCCCCTGGCCACCAGAGGGCGTGCAAAGCAGCCGTAAGCAGGGACTGAGCTTAGCGGGTGCTCCTGGACCACCCCCCAAACGCTTTCTGATTAAGGAATCTTCTGTTGGCATGGCAGGTCTTAGGGGCCTCCCTGAAGTCTTCTTGTCTTCAATGCTACTGGGTCTGTGGGGACCCCTGCCTGCTCCAATCCAGGCAGAAGCAGAACAGGACCCAGATATGTTAAGAACTTGGGTCCTCAAGCCCCTGGGCCAGAGCGGACTCTCAACAAATGGTCACTATTTTGAAAATGATTATTACCCTTGATATTGGACTTCAGGAGAGATCCTTCACTCTTTGTGCTTTTTTGCAGATACTAGGGCTTCCCTGTAGGATTTCATCTGGAGAAGAGTAGGACTGCCCAAGACAGCATGCCCCTTCCAAGGTTGGCAGAAGGAAGTCCCTGACAGCTCTCCCCTGTCCTCCCTTCCCTGCTTCCCCTTCCACCCCAGGCCTGCCCGTGATGGGGGTGCCAGGCCCAGTCCTCGGACTTGGGTTCTCAGCCTCCTGGGGCACAAACCCCTTTGAGAATCTAAGGAAAGCTAGCCACCTTTTCCTTAGGGAAGCCAGCATGTCCTCAAAATTTAGCTCCAATTTTGGTGGTGGGTGGTGGTGGGACCCCCGTACAACTCTGGATCCTGGCTTAGCAGCCCCTTTCCTGGTATGCTGGTTTCCCCATAAGAATGATCATAGCTGGGGCGCCTGGGTGGCTCAGTGGGTTAAAGCCTCTACCTTCGGCTCGGGTCATGATCCCAGGGTCCTGCTCAGCGGGGAGCCTGCTTCCCCCCTCCCCCCCGTCCCTCTGCCTGCCTCTCTGCCTACTTATGATGTCTGTCTGTCAAATAAATAAATAAAATCTTAAAAAAAAATGGGTTAAAGAATGATCATAGCTCATCACTAACTCTTGTCCAGGCATGACCCGGACACGTTACACACATGAGTTTATCATTCCTCACAAGAAATCTGAATGTACTACTATGCTCAGGCTGGAGAAGGGAAATTGAGTCCCAGAAAGGGGAAGAGCCTCAGCCAAGGTCACAGAGCGAGTTTTAATGAACATCTTCTGTTCTTCCCTGGACTCCTGTCCCTTAAGCCTGTGCCCTGCCTCTCCAGGCTCACACCCCTGACCTGGACCCAGGTACTTAGGCCTCCCTTCCCGCACTGTCCTCCCTCCCCCAGACCACACAAAACCTTTGTCTCTAACTGGTTCATCGCCTTCACCCCTGTCCCTCGAGTCCATCTCTCCTCAACCATCACCAGCAGAGTCACCTTTCTGAGATCCCCCTGGGTCCTGTCATCTTCCTGCTTCCAAGGTATAGAGGCAAGAGGTGAGGGGAGCCGGGCTATCGTTCCATATCCATCTGACATTGAAAAATATGGCAGCCTGCGGGAACTCCCTGTACTTTCCTACCAACTCTTCTGGAAATCTGGAACTGCTCTAAAAAAATAGTGTATTAATTATAAGAATAATAATTTTTTTTTAATCTTAAAAATGTTCTTATTCTTGGCCCAGCAATCCCCCTTTGGGAATTTATCCTGAGGAAACAATCAGGCCAGAGGACAAAGATTCAGATAGAAAGATGTTCACTGCAGCATCACGTGTCAGACTAAGGAACTAGAGACCCTCCAGTGCCCAGGGATGAGGGCATGATTAAATAAACACTGGCCTCTCTCCATGGGGAGGATATCAGTATTGTGGTTTTAAAAAAATTAATGATGGGCAAATATGCACAATATTCTGTTATTCTATATCTCTGTGGGTGACATATTTTTCCACATTTTCACATTTCTAAAGTTGGGATGGATCTTACAAACTACATGTCCATTTACTGTAATATTTCTCTTTTTTTCCAAAAAGCTACATTGACCCAATAATGTGTCATAGAAGAAACTGCATCTTAGAAGAAAGAAATATAGTGAGGAATGTTCCTGATCCTTCTTCAATAATCAGGATAAATAGATATGAAACAAAGAACCGCACAAAAGAACCCCACACTGGCTCCCCATCACCTAGAACCAGATATGAAACAAAGAACAGCAAAATAAAAAAACCCCACACTGGCACCCCATCACCTAGAACCATGCTATCCTGTAAAAATACAATGTGACCAGGATGCCTGGGTGGCTCAGTTGGTTAAGCAGCTGCCTTTGGCTCAGGTCATGATCCCAGAGTCCTGGGATCGAGTCCCGCATCAGGCTCCTTGCTCGGCAGGGAACCTGCTTCTCCCTCTGCCTCTGCCTGCCACTCTGTCCGCCTGTGCTCGCTCTCTTTCTCTCTCTCTCTGACAAATAAATAAACAAAATCTTTTTAAAAAAATATGATGTGACCCACCTATGTAACTTAAAATCTTCCAGTTGTCACATTTTTGCAAAAGCAAAGGAAACAGGTGAAATTAATTTCGATAATGTTTTTTAGCGACCCAAAATATCACCGTTAATATCATTTCAACATGTAACCAATATTTTAGGCGTGAGCAACAAGGCATTTGACATGTTTCTTCATGTCTTCTGAACCTGTGTGTATTTCCCATCTCAGTCATGGTGACTTTTGAGGACTTGGTGGCACCCTGTGGCCAGCGGCCACCGGATTGGTTAGTCCCCGCCACCACACAAGATAGCTCCCAGAGCCTTGACAGTGACGCCATTTTGCAACTCTGCACCTCTCTTCCAGCTGCTCCCTTCCCCAGAGCTTCTCTGTCCCCTTCTTTCTACCTACCAAGGCCAAAATCAAACATGACTTTTTGGAATTGATGGTCCCATGCCCATGCCTCTCCAGCACCAGGCTGAGAACGCAACCATGCTTCCCCAGGTTCAAATCCCAGCTCTGGAAATTATGAGCTAACTATGTGACCTTGGAAAGTGACTTCCCATCTGCTACCCCCTCTGTAAGATGGGAATGATGACAGTGCCCATCTCGAGTGATGACTAGAAGGACTAAGTGAGTTACTGTGTGCAGTACTTAGAGCAGGGCTGGAGCAGAATCAGCGTTCTCTGCTCTAAGTACTCGCTGCTATGATTATAGTAGTACCACCGTCATCGCCACTACTTGAGCATGTCCCACACGTGCGGCAGCTCTCTGGACTGGCAAGTAGGGTTCACCTTGTTTGCCAGCTCCCGCGTGGCTAGCGATGCCTGGGGAGCTATGTTGAGAGGTGTGCTCTGGCCTCCTTCCCACCTGGCCTTGTCCATGGGATAAAGGAGTAGATGCACATGGGAGGTGAATTTGCCAACTCTCCTAGGCTCTAGGAGGCTGAAAGGACCTTTCTAGCAAGTCTTGTTCCTGTTTGTGCCCCCCTCTGCCTGGCACATGCCTGGTGCTCAGGAATGTTAGCTCAGTGAGGACACAGAGATGTGGTCCTCCAACTTCCTCATGTCAGTGGCTCCTTGGGACTACGACAGCCTCAGCAACAGGGCAGCAATGGGACCTCTTTCCGGGACTCTCAGTGAATTACAGCCCCAGGAAGAAGACTGTGGCTCACCCGTTTCCCACGCCGTCGTAAACCCAGTGAGTGGAGCCAATGCCCTGATAGGCTGATGCCCAGTAGTACAGACAAGAGTTCACGTGCAGGCTATAGAGCAGGTAAGCCGTGGTCCTGATCACCCTGCAGTGGAAGGACACGCATGAACACAGTGGCGGAGCAGGTGGCCATGATCTCTCGCCCCAAGGGTAGGGACTGCAGGGAACAAACCCACCTTTACCCACCCGTGACACGTGCCTAGGTCATGCCTCTGTTGGAATGTCACGGTCCGGCCCCACTGCCTGGCAGGATGGACACGTGGCAGACACCTGGCAGGATGGACATCCGGCTGGAGGGACTGCGCCAACCACATGCTTGCTGGAGACTTTGCCAGCTAGGGATGGTGGCGTGTGAATGGCAAGTTGTCAAGGCCAGGGCCTGGGATGGCCCTGAGCCCCATGTGCCGATAGTTCTGGGGGTGTGAAGGACAGCAAAGGACAGCAGGAGCTGTAGCCTTGGAGGGGGCGGGAAGGGACAGACATGTGCAGAGAAGGACCACGTCATGAGAGACGTGGAGAAGCTCTGCCCCTGCCCGTGGCCCAGCTGGGCTTGTGCCCCACTCTCCAGCATTGAGAGAGGGCCCACTGTCCTTCCAATCATGCCCACTGTGATCGAGCAGGATTGAGGGGCCCAGTTCCCTGAGCTGAGATAAAAATGATGCCCGGCTCCGTGGAAATAGCGGTGAGCCGTGCACACGAACTTCTGTGTGCCCTCCTCACAATTGGGGGAAATGGGACATTCCTGGCTCTCTAGAAAAACAAACATCCCTTCAGAGAAGGGCCAGGAAGAGGCCTGGCTTCCGGTAGCACTGGGGCCCATGGGGCCAGAGGAGCTTAAAAGGGGAAGAAATATGAGTAGAGAATGCCTAGTGCTGTTGTTGCCGCAAACAGCCTGTGTTGTGTGTGCGCTCACGTGCGCGTTTGTGTGCATGCGTGTCTCACCTGTAAACATAGGCTTTGCTGAGGATGGCTTCCAGGCGGCTGTTAAACTCGAAGAAGGCCATGTACTGGGAGGAAGAGCAAAGCATCAGAACGGCCCACCACCCGTGGCGTGTGGTGTTAGCCTCCCCTGGGCCCCAGCCCGGACGGCTCCTTCTGCAACGCCCCCCAGAGGAGGCTGGACAGTGAGTGTCCAACATCAGAGGTCTGGAGCCCTCTGAGGGGTGGGGGCCAGAAACTCCCTTTATCAATCCATGGGAAACCGTGACCTGTCTTCCCCTAGAAACTACGCCTAGTCCTCTTCTCACAGTTTGCATATGTGTGGGGGGCTCCCAGAAACCTCCCAAAGCCTATCATGACATTTTCAGGGGTGACACTTCTCAGGTTAAGAACCCTGTTTGCAACATTTGCTTATGACGGAAACCATCTGATATAGAAACAGCACCCCTACCGCCCCTTACTTAGATCCCAAAGGCTTGTTTTTATAATAAAAGCGTGATAGTAGCTTCTCTTCTTTACTGAGCACCTTTGACGGCCGCGCTTTCTATTCATGACTTTCTTGCTAATTTACACGTGAGGTACGTGGTACCATTCTCCCTTTACAGAGAGGACACGGGCACTTCGTGACATTGAGGCAGCTGCCCAAAGCACACAGCTGCTAAGTGGCAGAGGCAGGATTCGATCCCAGAGCATACTCAAAGTGGCCACACGGCACACGTGTTGTGAACATTGGAGAATGACCGTGGGGGAAATTCCCCGAGCCATGAGCTGGTCATCCTCCAAGGGGTCCTCCTGAAATCCCTCCAGAGTTTACATGGGATGCAGGGCTCCAAGTTTTGTCCTGAGTCATGCTAAACACCAGGTATGAATCCCATCACTATGGGCGGGGCGGGGGGTGTAAAACTCGGCTTGTGGATCCACAGTTGGTCTGCCAGGAAATCCCACTTGGGGGATTCCAAGAGCTCCAACTGGCTGTCAACCCTGGTCACACTAAACGGACCACTGCCTGGTCTCTCCTTTACACTGTGTCACCTTCACTGGGACACTGGCTCTGCCCCAGTGGCAGGAGGGACGACTGTCATGACACCAAGTAGCGATGAACAATGAGACAGGTATTAGGCTGCACGTCCAAATCTATTCTGGGTACTTCCCGGCTCCTGTGACCTTGAGCAAGTCACCCAAGGTTTTCAAGCCTCGGTGTCCCCATCTTTGAGATGCAGACAATCATAAAGCAGAAGTCCCTCTCTTGTGTTTCTGTAATGACTGAAGGCACAGACAGTGGAGGCATACTGCCTAGGTTCAAATCCGACTCTATTCCTTCTGACCTGTGTGACCTAGGGCAAGTTACTTAACCTCTCTGGTAAAATGCTGGTACTACCAACACTTGTAGGGTTGAAGACTATGTACTTATTAAGCTTCTGGAACAAATCCCTAACACACAGCACAGTAAAGAAGCTCTAACACTTTCAGGGAATTTCCCATCCCCTCTGGGGCCACCCTGACGCCCCGCCCGGCCCCGCTCCCCAGTGCTGCTCAGGGGGGACATCATGATGCTAGTGCAGAGCACAGGAGAGCTGAAGGCCCTGGACGGGAAGCCTACCTTCAAACAGCGGGGCAAGCGCAGGAGGGGATTCACACCAAACTTCAGGTAGAGCAAGTCCAAGGGCAGGAGGCAGAGCATGTCCATCTGAAATCCCCGTGGGACACCGCAGTGTATAAAACAGGCAGCCCCAGGGGGTTGGGGGCTGGGGGAATGATAGGGTCTCTACCTTGGGCGGAGGGGTGAGGTCAGAATGCACCCAGAGGGGCAGAGAGCCTTGTACCCACAAACCTCCCCGTGCCTAGCAGTGGGATTCTGGTGGGATTCACATCACATTGGCCCCGAATCACCCAGAGTCCCCAGCCACACCTCCCTTCAAGGCGCGGCGGAAGCTTGTAACCTTGGTACACACCTTAAAGCGGCGAGATTTCAGGTAGTTATTGCGCATCTCCTTCTTGTCGGTCTGAAAGAAATGGAATGCTGACTGTGAGATGGCCCGCGAGCTTCATTCCTGACCCCAGGGGAGCCGCCTGGACAGCCCTGCAGAGTTTCCACCTTCTTATCAGAGGAACAGCCTCAGGGGGGCAGCTGAGCTTTGGGGAGAGAAAGCCTTAGGGTCCACAGGTCTGCAAGAGGGGAGGGTAGACCTCCCGGAGAGTGGGAAGTGGTCCAAGGTCACCCAGCTAGATTCCGACTTCCTGGCTGGGGAGTCAATATTAGGGTCGTTCTCCTAGCACATGGGTCTTAACCGGACCCTTTGTAACCTGGTTTTCCGAGGAAACGGCTGCTGCTCTCATCAGGCTGGGTAAAGAGGCTGCCCAGGGAATTCTGTTTCCTCTAAATTGTTCTAGAGACACAACAAGTGCCCGCCTGCACACAGAGGAGCAGCCCCCCGCCAGGGTGACATTTGGGAAAGTGACCTGCACAGAGATACAAGGACTGGGCCCTCTGCCTTCGCCAAGTCAAAATAAGGATTCAGTTTCCTCCCCGGGGAGTGGGGCCTGACCAGGGCACAGGGTCTCACACTGGTCCAGGCAGTGTGTTCTTTGCAGGACCCCCAGGAAATGTTGCTCACCATGCGGAAGGGCTCTGCGGACATCATCTCAATCCCCCCTCCCTGCAATGCTATGAGGTGGGAACAATGAGTTCCCCCATTTTAGGATGACAAAACAGAGGCTCAGAGGGGGCCTGCAGAGCTATCAGTGGTAGAGCTGGGATTTGAACCAGGTCGGTCTGACGGTCGTTCCCTGGCCCACTTTCCCTCTTTAGGTCCACTTGGTGGTCCAGGAACTCCTTCACCCATGATCAGGGTTTGGTGTGTGTAATTTGAACAATCATGGGTGCACGTCCCCGAGACCTTGTTCAATCGTCTCGTCTATCACAGCAGCAGCCCAGGTCGGGCTCCCGAAGGTCCTGCTGCGCCACCCCACCCCCCCCCCCCCCCCGGCCACAGGTCCCCCTCCCCCTGCCCGGGCCTCACAATGATGTCTCCCCCTCTGACAAACTGCAGGCGCATCTGGAACACAATGATGTCCAGGAGGTAGACGAGGTCGCACACATAGTCCATCAGCAACCACAGGTGGACGTTGTCCGGCGTCTGGTAGGGGAAGGCCCAGCGCACGGGAATCAGCCAGCAGTTCCAGTTCCAGGCCAGCACCACGAAGAACAGCCACAGGATGTACATCAGGTCTGTGGGGGAGCCAGGGGGCGGGACTGTTCTAGAACGTCGGTCGGAGGAGGGCTCCTCGCAGGAGCATCAGGGGAGGGCGTCCTTCTTTCCACGAGTCTATTCCTAGATGTGGCACTTCTGTAAGTGGGGTAGGCACGTGTGTGCGTGAGCCTGTGTGCCTGCGTGTGTGTGAGTCTGCCTGTGTGCCTGCGTGTGTGCGTGTGCCTGTGTGTGTGTGTAAAACTATCTCTGATTTAAAAATAAATCACTGTCAGGCCCTAATAAACCAGAATACTCAGCGGGGGGATGGGGGTGTATTAGATAATAGGCAGCTAACTAGAAAACACATTCGCTCTCATTCTCATTGAAATATTTCCAAAAATGTATTTCCTGCTTTAGTAAATACACAACAGTAAATAATGCCTGGAAGATGGGTACAGACAGGTGGGTGGGTGCATGGATGGAAGTCGTGGGTCACGTGGTCATTTTAGAGACCCAGTGGACACCAGGATTGGCATCCTGTTCCCCCACGACTTCTTGTGTGACCACAGGAACGTCTCTCTCTGGCACCTACCCTGCTCCCCAGGGAAGGCACAAGGCGAGGTCAGCTAAGAAAGGCTGGGAGCTTCATAAACTGTAAAGTGCTGTGCCCATAGAAAGGGTTGTCATTGCCAAGGATGAGAACATGGGCTAAATAAAAGCAAAGTGAGAGGAATTCACTTTAGATGTCAGAAGAATCTCTGCCCTTCTCTGCTCAGAGCAGCAGCTCCAGGAAGGGGCCCTCGAGAGCAGAGTAGAAGGCAGACTAGGGCAAGAGTCAGGGTAGGGCTCCTAGTCTGCCACCAACTAGTCGTGCCTCGGTTTCCCTCTCTGTCAGGTGAGGGTGATGGTAGGTTCCTATTCAGGGGCTTTGCTTGTTTGCTTCTGGAGCTCGCTCGCTCTCCCCCGCCCACCCACCCCTGGCTCCTCTCACTGGGCCCTCTGCCCTCACACAGCACACGGTGGCAGCAGTGGCTGGCCCGGTCCCACCCAGGACTCACTGGTCAGAGGGTCGATGCTCTGCGGAAACCGGTAGGACTTCCAGGGGCGGCGCTTGAACTTGCAGCAGAGCATGTCGCAATAGTGCTCCTCCTCGCTCTGCCCGGCCTCAGCCGCATTCTCTTCCGGGGCCGGTTCCGGGGCTTTCTTGGCTGGGGCTGCAGGAGGACATGGGGGACCATCTGAGAGGCTCCAGAAAGAGGGCAACCAACCACAGACTCTGGACCTGGAGCCGCAGGGATCCTGGCGGCCCCCCCATCCCCTGCTGTCAGCTCTGCGTGCGGAAGCCCGGGTGCTGTCCACGGCAAAGCCCACAGCACCCGGCCGGATAATCTTACCAGCTGCCAGGCTGAAGCTGCTTCTCAGGGATGGCCCAGAATGAAGTGTTTCTGGGCAAGTTAGGCGTTTTCAGAAGTCTGTTTGTGCATCTGTGTTTGGACCCCCTTGGTTCTCTTTGGAGGGCTAGGGGCGTTTCGTACCCCAGAACCCCACCCCCAAGAGCCAGAAACCAGGGAAACCTTGCTCTGGGTTTTTCAGAGCAGAAAACTGAACTCCTTCATCTCTGAAATGAGACACTGAAGGAGACCAAGCCTCCCTGTGCATTGAAGGTGATGGCGTTGGTGACCTAGGCATTGACTTCTGTAGGTTCAGTATGACTGTGTTTCTAGCTTTAGGACTGTGGATCCAAGCCCTGCTAGGTCTGTTGTTAGCGCCCTGAGCTCGAAGGTACAGTCCTCCTTTGGAAAGACCTGGAAAACCTCCCTGACAAGAGAGCATTTCTCTCATTTCCTCCTGGAACCTGGAAAGCACAAAACTTTGAGGAAGCTCCATGAGACTATTGCAAATGAGGCCTCCAAAAAATAAGACTGAAAAGAAAAGTGGGGGGTGACACCATCTGTGTATAAGGCCATGAGATCCCACCCAGGCTGGACCACCTGCCTGCCAGTGGGAAAGGGCCAGAAGGGTGGAGGAGGAAGTACTTGCCCTGTGCGGGGGTGGGGGAGCCAAACCCAATTGGATCATCAGTCACAACTTTGACCTTATTCCCTCCCCTGGTTCCATAGCTAAAGCTGTACATACAGGACCCAAAAATCCAGACAGTGGGGAGCACCCTGACCATTTCCTTGGGGGTACCCTCACCATGAGCTTACAAGGGGCTCTAGGGGACCCATTTCTGGCAGGTTGAACCATCCCAGCTCTGGGCTTACAGGGCTTCGGGCTCTCCTCATCGGAGGTGACGTCAGGGTCGATGAGCTTCTCCTTCACCTTCTCTGTCCGCTCCTTGAAAAGCTTCACCAGCTCCTGCAGCCGGTCGTTGATGATGGCGCTGTTCCGGCTGGCCACCGAGGCTGCACGATCCTGGCCACTGTGGACACACCTGATGCTGAGCGGGCTGGATGGAAAGGGACCCCCATGCCCCTGGGCAACAGCCGAGCAGCCTCTCTATCCCACCCGGCCCCAAGGAGGCAAAAGCTGCCCCAGTTTCCTTCTGACACCAGAAACATCAAACCCACTTTAATAGCTCCTAGGAGGAAATTCAGTCTGAGGCTCACACCTGGGTGCCCAGCTTTTAGAGAATGTACCACACAGGATCTGATTCCGATGGGCGGTTCTGAGAAAACTTTGATCCCACTTGTGATTTAGGGGGAAACTCTTGGAACTCGGGTCAGGACGGTTAGCCCCAGTTTGGGGTTCCCAGGAGATTGGCGTCTGGGACAGATCAAAGAGGGGACAGGGCTATGCTTTTGGCTCAGGAAATAGTTGATGGGAAAAAAACAGTGCAGATCCATTCCATATCCTTTTAACTTCTAGGAATTTAAACTGTCTGTACTAGCAGCAAGAGAGACAGATGGACAGAGAGATGGACAGAGAGAGAATGAATGGGAGTCTGCCCGAGGCGCCGGTCAGCCTGGGGCAAGCACTCTGGGTGGGCTGAGACAGGCCGCAAATCAGCTGTCCTCTGCGTGGCGTCCTTCTGACCATCATGCTGAGCTGAGTGCAATCCTAGTGTTTTCACATCTATCTGTTTTCTGACATGGGGGCACCGGCAATCAAGTCCCCTAGTCCCCGGGTGCTCACCTGACGAGGCAGCTGGGGACCAGCAGCATGGGGACCCCCCAAAAAAAGGGCACACAGGTATGCGGAGACGCAAACTGCTTGCCCACATCCGCTCCCGCCCGTGGGGAGTGGTCGCTGGGGCGCAGAGTCCCCGTGAGGGCGGCCAGGCGGGCTCCCCCAAGAAGAACACGAGCGGACTTGCTGTGTGCATCTCTGGACCCCCTGTCTGGCATTCTCTCCATCTAGGGCTGACCCGCAGGGCCTCAGAAGCCACACACAGGTAGCACAGCTGCTGCCACCAGGGTCCCTAAATGACTGCCTGGAGGAGAACCCACCACTGACCTGAAACAGGTGTCTGGTGACATGATTATGATAAATGAGACATTGTGTTGCTTAAGCCACTGCATCTGTGGGCTCTAATTGTTATAGCAGCTGAACCCACCTCGCTAATGTATGGGTCCCCGCGCTGAACTCCTTAAGAGGCTTCAAGGGTAATTTTTATTATTATAACTGATTCCTGCCCTGTTTTCTGGTACTAAACTCTGACCCTGTCCTTACCCTACTGCATAAGATGGAATTGCACTGTATATTCACATGGACCAGTGAACTATGGGTGAGGTTTGGATTTTTTTTTCTTTCTCTTTTAACTTTTCTGAACTTTCCACAGCTCCCTAAAACATATTCCATAAAATTATGCGGGGGGGGGGGGGGGGGAAGGCTGGCAGGAAAGCCCAGTGCCTCCTGTGGCCCCTCTAGAAGCTGAGGCTGGGAATAGGATGGGGATCCCAGGCCAGAGCCTGGGGCCGGGGGATTCACCATCAGCCAGGCATCCCAGACTCTTCCAGAAAACATCTTCTATTGGCCCAGCCCTTGGAATAGTTAGATGTCACAGACCCAGGTCCCAGTGCCCTCACTGTGGCCTCTAAACACTGTCCCACAGACCAGTTTATAATCAGAATCAGCTGGAGGCTTGTAAAGATGTCAGTCCCCCAGGGCCCACTGTCTGAGCTTCTGGGTCTGGGCTAGGAGCTGGGAATCTGTATTTTTTTTTTAAAGATTTTATTTTATTATTTATTTGACAGACAGAGACCACAAGTAGGCAGAGAGGCAGGCAGAGAGAAATGGGGGGGAAGCAGGATCCCTGCCGAGCAAAGAGCCCAATGCCGGGCCTGATCCCAGGACCCTGAGATCATGACCTGAGCCGAAGGCAGAGGCTTTAACCCACTGAGCCACCCAGGTGCCCCGGGAATCTGTATTTTTAACAAGCTCCCTGGGTTTAGACCCCTGGAGATCCTTGTGGTCCTCGATCCCCCTGCTGACCTTCTCAGGGGTTTAGAGCCAGGACCCAACCTTGGCTGAGGGGCCGGGAGCCTCTCTCTCCTTTACAACAAAGCCTCTGTGCATTTTACAGACTGTACAGAACCCCTAGCCAGAAGCAGCCTGGACAGGAGACCCAGCTCTGTCTTACTGCTCAGAAGCCGTTGGCAAAGTGGTGGAAGGTTCTAGAAACATCCATACTCTCCCCCACCAACCCAACCCTCTCTCCTTGTCTGCTCATCCCCACCCAGACTTCCAACCACCCTCTGAAACCCTGGGGGTGGTCCCCACTCACTCAGTGCCCTGTGGGCTGGACGGGTCCAACCAGGCAACCATGGGTGATTCAGCTGGTGACAGTGCCTTGAGCTCTTCAACGTCATCATCTTGGGAGGGCAGCCTCTTCCTGCATGGACACAGACATGGAGGGGCCTTCAGCGAGGGCAGGAGACACAGGGGGAAGGGAGCCAATCTTGACCACTGCAGATCACCCAGGGCTGAACCCTGGGCAGGGGGGGAATGGGGCCAGGGGTGTTGGTGCCGCCAAAGGGTCCTCACTTGCCTTCATGGAGAAAAAAAGAGAGAGGGAAGGGACACAGTCGCCCTCTGGACCTCAGTCTCCACATCTGTTCAATGTCCTAGTGTAAAAGTAACAACATTGACTTGGTATCAGGCAAACTGGATTTTGCATCCCAGTCCTGCCTCCCACTCGTGTGTGACCTTGGCAAGTGACTTAAACTCTCTGAACCATCTCAGTTTCCCCATCTGTAAAATGGGACCAGATCTACTCAACTCAGTGAGATACTCAGGACTCAGTGGGGCCTCAGCTAAAATGTTCTTCTGCTTTCCCCTCCTAGCACACCCCTTCCAGGCTCCCTGTCTGAGGAAGGAAGAGCAAATCCTCCCCGGGGTCCCCTGTCATTCAGTCCACGTCTCCCACAGGGCTCTGCATCTGGAGCCATCGGAGTCCCGGCTGATGGTGTCTGGGTGTGAATTTACCTGTCACTCTGCCCATCCTCAACCATCTCGACTCAGGATCTCAGAGGCTTCTAGAGGGAACAGATGGAGGGATGTGCAGCCTTGCCTTTATTCCAGGAGGCTCTGAAACTATCCTATGGCCTTCTGCCAGCTCACCAAGAATGGCAACACTCACAGATTCACTTCCTTCACACTCTAGTTAAAATTCCCACCTGTGAACACCAAGGCCAGAATTTGCACAGGTGAGACCCAAACTCAGTCCTCTTGTGCCCGGCCTGGTGCCTTCTCCTGAGCCAGGAGGGCACATGCTGCCCGAGATGCCAAAGTGTGGAACTCCATCAGCAGCCAGGCTCCCACAGCCCTGCTTCACGTGCAGCCCTGAGCTGAGCACCTTGCACGAGTTAGCTCACTGAATTCTTCCAGCAATCTCATAACAGGTGGTGTGTCTATCCCCATCTTACAGTAGGAACATAGAGGACTAGGAGTGTTCACTGGCTTGCCTCAAGCCTCACATCGGTAAGTGGTAAGATGGGAGTCACCGCAAACCAAGGCTTTAAGCTATGAGGCAGGGTCCAGCCCATGTGCCCCTCCATCAGGGTCTGTGATTTCCATAGCTTTTTGGTGCCTGTCAGTTGCCCACAATGCTCATTCCACCCCTGACCATAGGCAGTCCCATAGGCTTCCCAAGTCAGGTATCAGAATTCTCCCCTCTCGGGGTCAAGCTCAGGCAAAGACTCAGGTAGAGGTTCCCCTGATTTCTCAAAGTCAGGTTCAACTTAGAGCTCTCTAGGACAGTCTTGTCCGTTTATTTAATTCCTTGTTCATTGTCTATCTCAGTCCCATCAGAACATCAGCTCTGGGACAGTAGGCCCCTGTCAGGCTTCTCCGTGATGCATCCCCCAGCACCCAGAGAGAGCCTGACACATAAAGATGTTCAATAAATGTTTATGAATGAATGAATGAGTGAATGAGTCAATGATAAGAACAAGAGAAGGCTCATAGGCCCATCCCATAAACAGAAGGCAGAGGGCTTAGATTCTATCCCCAAAGGAGCCTACTCCCCTCTCTGTGCCCAGATATCCACCGCCAACCTAGCCTATAAAAAGAAAACAGAGAGAGGTAGGCCAGATGTCTGTAACAATATTAGCTCTGTCTTTTTTTGTTTGTTTGTTTGTTTGTTTGTTTGTTTCTGCTGTGTTCTGCATAGTTCAATGAATGAAACAAAAGAATTAATGGGACAGTGAGTTGTGTTCCAAGGCTAGATGAGATTATGACTCTTTTCTTCACATTAAAATCAGAGAGCCCTCAGTTGGCCACATCTAGCTATCTCTGTTACAGCAGGCTTTTTACTTTGGCTGAGAGAGTCCTCAAGGACCCATGGACGGGAGCAATGATTAATCAAGAAAAAGGAAATATCTCCCAGTGCGGCCACCACAGGAGAAGCACTGGCAGCTCCCCTGCAGCTTAAATGCAGTCATTCGCAAAGCATTGAACTGCACTTCACAGTTTGCCTACAGCTGTATACAAGAACTCTCTGTTGCCTGGCTCAGGATGTTCAAAACCAACTCCAATCGTGCAACAAATTTCTATCAAGAAGCATAAAAATGTGCACAACCTTGACCAAGATTCCCACTTTTGAGAAAGGAGCCCAAGGACAGAAAGAAGCCCAAAGATGTCCAGAGCTTCACTATGGACGGTGTCCAACAAGAAGGGATTTGTGAAGTTCATTCTGGCACACAGAGCTGGAGGAAGGTCAGATGTGGTCTCTAATGAAATGTGATCCAAGTCACCCCTCCAGTGAAAACCACACAAAACCATGAGCCCATAGACAAGGTAGTGTAGTGGGACAAGGGATGCTTATTTTTCTAGTGTTTTTTGGTATCTCCATTCCCTTATTTGAAAGTAAAACAAGGGGGTGGAAATTAGCCTTGTCACATTTATTACCCACCTTCTATCTTACAGCTGACGGTACTTGGGACAGGACTTCCTTGGAGAACTCTTTATAGGGTCCTAAATCAGGGTTGTGGACCAGGAAGTGGGGCCATAGTCCCAGTTCTGACACCAAGTCACTGAGTGACCTTGGGCCAGCTGCATTCCCCACTCTGGCCTCAGTCTCTCCTTCTGCCAAATGGACAGAGGGCACGGTGCTGTGAGAAGCCCAAGAGAAGCATAAAAGCTGACCTTTCGGACCCTGCGGCAGATCCCGGGACCGCGAGGGTGTCGGATTTGGCAGGAGAAGGTGGTGGCAGCTCAGGTGTGGGTGGGTTCTCCACGATGAGGGGATGGTGGGCCGCGTCAGCATCTTCCACCTGCACTTCTGGGAGCTCCTTTGTAGCCGGCACTTGGAGAGAGGGAGGAGAGGACAGTCAGAGAGAGAGAAGCCAGGTCCCAAGGGCTTTGCTCTGTTCTGAATAAAGCCACAGAAAGCATGTTTGGAGGGGCCACCAAGAGCCTCCCCTCCCAGTGGGGCCCACCGGAGAGCTCCATGCAGGGGTGCAAGAATGCAGATCCCGGGGGCCTCTGAGGCCCTTGGCCACCCCAGACACCAGCCCAGGAGCTGCAGACGAAGCCATGACACCTTTGAGGCCACAGAAGCTCTGGAGCGTGGTCTGGAGTCCAGGTCTCCCAAGCTCTGGTTTCCCAGGGCCTAGGGAAGACTCAAGGACCTGGGGTTTGGCAGGAGTGGTGGGGGGGTGAGAGGGGCAGCACCCAGAGAGGGCAGGGGGAGGCTGAGAGAGTCCAAGTCTGAGGGCCTGGCCTAGCACAGCCTCAGTGCTTCCCCTCTCTGGGCCTCAGTTTCCCCATCCCAAAGTGGGAGTCACAAAGGCACACGGCCTCACATTCTTGAAGGGCCTCAAATGGAGACATTGGGCAGTTCCTCGCAATCAAGGATAACAGCCTGTCCTTGAAGTATGTGTCACCCTTGTTTGGGAATGTGTTTTGGTACCTCCTTGTTTCTGGACATGCCAGGACCCCCTGAAATTCATCAGCCCAACTCCTCTCCTGACCTCTGAGAGGCCTGGTGCCGGGTCCAGTGTGTTGGGTCCCGCGTCCCAGGACAGGGTCCTCCCTTGCAAGTCTGGGGTGGCCCTGCCTCAGTCTTTATCACCCACCCCAGGGACTGTGGGGACAGGCCTGCCTGAGGCAAAGCTCAGAGGACGCTCAGGGGCCGAGACAGGGCCCCCCTCTCTCAGCCATACCTGAGGCGGACCACTCTCTGAAAGCCGGGCCTATTGTACCCAGAACGAGGAGAGGGAGCATTCTGAAGCCCTTGGAGACTCGACTTTCTTTTTAAATGGCCGCCATGGGGAAAAGCCAGCACTTTGTGGAATGTGGCTTAGGAGGGAAGCTGAGCAAGACCTTTTGGCATTTGCTCTACTAAGCCTTAAGCCCTCAGAGGAAGAGGACGAGCAGGAATAGAGAAGTTTCTAAACGTTTAAGGAAGAGGTATTGCCAGACTAACAAGAGATTTCTCCAGGCTGTGGAAAGCAGGAGAGAGCGTAAGGCACGAGGGACCTCAACCAGCTTCCCGGACCGGGCTGGGGTGGGGGGACTGTCCAAAATGCTCAGCGCCCCACACTGCCCCCAGCATAGCCCCAGGAGCCTCCGTAAGGCCGTCCTGGGGAGCCTGGGAGGGGGCAGGTCCTCCCCAACCCCACCTCACCCTGAGCAAGACTCTGCAACCTCTGTCGCCCCCAGGAATGGAGGAAAACCCCTAAGCCCGGTGTTTCATGTTTATAGAACAAAAATCACATTATGAAAAATAGAATAACATGGCATGATGAAATTGGTTGAGAGAAGAGTCATATTTACTATAAAGCCCTTCCTACGTGCCTGCCATCCGTTTCACTAAACTCTTAGTGCTTTATATAGATTAATTCTTTCCCCTTTCCCGGCCCTTCTAGAAGAGCACTGTTATTGCGTCCCCATCTTGTGGGTAAACTGAAGCACAGAGCGGTGAAGGAACCGGCCGCAGAGCTAAGATTTGGACCCAGGCAGCCTGGCTCTAAAATTTATCCTCTTCCTTCATCCTGAGGCTAGTGACCCGCTCATGCAGAGGTCTCCATTTGGACAAAAGCTTGCTCCAGGCCAAGCAGCATCCTGGACACGGGGCTGCCTACAGGCTGCCATGCCGTACCCACAGCATCTCACACCATCGTGGGCCATACCACCATGGCTGCATCAGCCCATGGTCCCAACCCTGAAGTGGGACTGTTTCCTCAAGTGGGGAGGCTCCCAGGGACCAGGGAGGACACAAGGTGACTTTGGATGGCAAAGACACGACAAAGGAAACGTGGAATGAGAACATTCCTCCCATTTCAGTCCTCTCTAGCTTCTGAACGCACAGAGACAAAGTCTCAGCCCCGTGCCCCTCAGCCTTAACACCTTTGTGGCTAAGAGGGCAGGTCTCCCCTGGGAGCCTTCCGCAGGCCATCACCCTTTGCTGAAATTCTCCACATGACTTGGTTTTCAGTTCATTTGCGGTTATTTCTATTTATGCACTCTACTTATGGCAAGCAATGCTGGTTGCCCACTGGAATAGTATAGTAAAGGTTCCTGATTGAATAAACTTAATTAAATTTAAAAAATGATTTCACTGAAAGAAAAATGGCAAGCCAATCAAAGTAGAATTGGTACAGAATATAGCAAAAATTCAGAAGGGATCTGTGGGGGAGGTGGAAATTAGGGGACACTCAGGAGTGGGTGGATCTAGGGCTTGCCCAGAAGACCCCGCCTGGGGGCATCAACCCCTGTGGTGGGGCTGATCGCCCTCGTTCTGTGCCTATTGCAAGCCAGGGAGAGAAGACAGCAGTGGATCTCTACTCATGAAATGTTCCATGCTGCCTGTCTACTGACCTCACAGGCAACCTTGCACACTATCCCCCCAAAATAAACAAATGAAAAGGGAAAGAGGGCGGGTCTGGCTTAAGTTAAAGGAGAAAGTGATAGGGGTTAGTCCAGAAGCACCCTGCTGTCCCTGAGTCCTCTTGTCATCCCGAAGCAAGCAGCGGGAGCCCAAGGGCTACCAGGATCCAGACTTGCCCTCCTTCTTCACTGGCCCCTGAGGATGCCTCCCCTCCTAGTTGGCCTGCAGCCACCTGGGGTCCTCTCCGTTCCTAAAATGGGATTTGCTAGGGAGGGATATTGACAATCCTCAGAAAGTCCAAGTCCCAGAAAATCCTCAGGATCGGTAGGATTCTGTGTGAAATGGGTCCCCACATTCCACTTCTGCCTCATTGCCCTCAATTTATTCTCTTTCTCCACCCAGATCTCCTAGCCTAGCTATCTTAGTAATTTATTTAAACTAGAGTGTGATTGACTACCTATAAAAAATGATGATCTGCAGAATGCAATGTTTAACCCAAAGAAATTAATTGCTAATTATGGGATTTTAGTACAGAGATAAGTGGACTAATACCCCTTAAGTCACCACGAAGCAAGATAAAGGCATTGATCAACAGAGGAAGAGGAGGTGGTTTTCTAGTTCAACTGCTAATCCCATCCCTAGACCATGGCACCCATGCAGGGAACAGCCCAAGCCATGCAGGAGCCCACAGCACACGTGCGAGCATGCTGGGTACACGAGATCACACTACCTAGGCGATGGACGGAATTCCTGGTCTCCTTGGCGAAGTTGGAGTTGGACAAGGCCGTCCTCCGGTAGATGAGGATGGGGATGCGGGTGATTGAGGGGCGGTAGCTGGGCACATTGGGGAGGTGCTCTGCCAGGATTGGGGGAGCAAGCCCTGGGGCCACCTGGCCGGGCGGCTGGTCCTGGACCAGGCGACTCAGCTCCACGTCCTGGCCTGGCTGAGCCATGGTGCTGGGGCCAGTGGGGCTCAGGCAGGTGTGGGACCCTGGGGACTGCAACCAGGAACACAGGGTTGGGGGAGGCGGGGGGGGGGGCCTCCTCCCCACCAGCGCCAACGTGGACCCGCCCCGTGCCCGCCTGTGCTTGTAGCAGCTGCCCCTAACAGCTGCCCCTAACGCCCGAGCACCGTTTGTGTCCCTGGAGTGAACATTGAATGCGTCACCAAGTCACGCTGACTGGTCTACTCGCCAGCTCCAAGGGACAGCACTGGACTCCCCTCCTTCTTCTCTGTTAACCAACCACATGTAGCATTTTCCACCTCAGACAGAAAAAGTTAGAATCAGGGACGCCTGGGTGGCTCAGTCATTAAGCGCCTGCCTTCAGCTCAGGTCATGATCTGGGATCAAGTCCAGCATGGGGATCCCTGATCAATGGGGAGTCTGCGTCTCCCTCTACCTGCCTCTCCCCCTGCTTGTGCACTCTCTCTCTCTCTCTGACAAATAAATGAATAAAATCGTAAAAAAAAAAAAAAAAAAAAAAAAAAAAAGAAGGTGCTTTTCAAAGATCAGGTGGGGAGCAAACTTGGGACACCTGGGGTCAGGACACCTGCGTCTAGTCCCATGTCATTTGCCGGCTGGCTGGTCCCCATTATGGCCTCCTGCCTCGGTGCCACACAGCTTTGGGTACCTTCGACACACTGTCCCCCTGCCACTCTGACCAACTGCCTTATGAGGCAGGTACTACTATTGCCCTGTCTTTCTCGATTTGGGAGCCACAATTAAGAGAGGTCACACAGCCTGGCTCCAGGTCCCACAGCAGGCGGAGGGAGGAGCCCAGAGTGAAGTGCAGTTCTGTGGCCTTGAGTGCTCAGCCACTTCCTGCCCACTCAGAACCTTAGTTTTCTCATCTGTGAAATGGTCTGTCTGCCTCCCAGGGTGGCTTGAGAAGCATGGAGTCTCACAAGGCCAGGGCTCCATGTCCGTCTGTCTGGGGCTCCCCAGCCTGGCTCCCTGAGACTGCCACACCAAGACTGGAGTTCTCAGATTCAGGAGTGGGAGTGGCAAATAAGAGCAAAGTGCATGTGCTGGGTTCAGCCTGGGGATCTGCCCAGGAAGGAAAAGCTCATCAAGACACGGGGTTCACAGGGCGCCTGGGTGGCTCAGTGGGTTAAAGCCTCTGCCTTCAGCTCAAGTCATGATCCCAGGGTCCTGGGATCGAGTCCCGCGTAGGGCTCTCTGCTCCTCAGGGAGCCTGCTTCCCCTCCTCTCTCTCTGCCTGCCTCTCTGCCTACTTGTGGTCTCTGTCTGTCAAATAAATAAATAAAAATCTTAAAAAAAAAAAAAAAAAGACACGGGGTCCAGGACGGGCCCTTTGCAAGCTTGGGTCCTGATTTTCACTCAGAGATGCTCCGTTTCATCCAAACCCTCTCTAGATGGTAGCCCAGAGAGCTGCGTTCCCAGCGAGTGCGGGTGGGGGGCAGGAAGGGCTGACTGGGAGTGGGGTTTCCACGGGCCTGCTGGCGTCCCGAGAGCCTCCCGCAATTCCCCTGGGGCCTTTGAAATACATCACCAAGCTCTGATAATGTGGCCCCAAGACACAGAGGATGGGTTTTGCCTGAGGATGAGACAGGTGCAGGGGTGTAGGGACAGTAGAGATGGGGGTGGTGAGTGCCCTTGTCCCCAGGCTGCCCCCAGCCTGAAAGTATCATCTGTCAAAGCGCTGTGCCCCACCCCCCACCCCCAGCACACCCCTACCTTCTGGACTGACAGTCACGGCCTCTTCCTTTGGCAGCTCCTGCGGACAGGAAAGTGGAAACAAAAGCTGGACCATCAAGGCCCCTCCTCGCCCCAGGCCAGCCCAGATCCTGTTGGGAGATCTGTCTTCAAGAGGTCACCTGGGCCCCTATTCAACTCCTTGCTCTGCCGGATTGGTCAGGCCCTGCCCCTCCAGCTGCTGGATCACCAGGAGATGGCCCCCACCATGTAGAGGGGAGGGCACCCAGAAGCCCTGGGCTCCCGCACCTGGACTTGGCGGGGGGTGTTCCCATGCAGCTCTGTGCATGTGGGGACCAAGCAGCCGCCACAGCACCCCTCCACCTGGGCACTGCCCTTCACAGTGGACGACTCTGTGGGACTCCATGGGGAGGGGTTTTCAGCCCCATTTTATAGGCCCACAGTGGGGAGGTGATGTGTCCAGGGTCACACAGCCATGTGAGGACTGGCCTAAGGACCAGCTGCTCCCTACCCATGGCCGTGTCACCCCAGGCCCTCCCTGACCCCATCTGACCCCTGGTATAAGCCAGGCCCTGCAGTACCCACCACCCTGCTCCCCTTTGTCCAGGGGGCATCTCACCAGCTGAAAATCCCTCTGTAAACAAAGTAGACAAAGCCCAGCCAGGCCCCAGAAGTAGTTGGGTACCAGGCTTGGTGCTGCTCTGTACCTGCTGCGAGGCCTTCTGGGGCTGGGTCCCGTCTACTCCACTTGGATCCTCACCAGCCTGCGCCTCCAGACAGCTATCCAGCAGGACACTGTGACCCCAAGGGGGAGGAGGAAAGGGCTAGTGTTAGGGGGGTTAGACATTTCCTGAGCCCTGCCTAATGGCAGCCAGACCCTCTGTTGGGAGCTAGTGCACAAAGATGGCCAAGAATAGGTCCTCACCCTCATGAGGCTCCCCAAATGGGACAGGCAGACCCCCACTGTGCCTAGGAAGGAAGCCTGCCCAGAGGAGGTGGCCTCTGGGCTGGACCTCAGGGACAATGAGTTTACAGTGAGGAATAGGCGAGGAAGGGTATCCAGGAACGGGGAACAGCATGTGCAAAGAAAAGCATGGTGGATGGCTTGAGGGATTGTCCTCTGCGGGGTGGGAACAAACCGTATTGAACAGTGTTCAAAATGTACTCCCAGCATCTCCCCTCTGCGAGCCTCTAGGCGACGCTGGTGATGCAGGTCGGGCGGGGAGTACAAGAAAAGTGAGGCCCAGAGAGGTGATCTGAGCTGGCCAAAGTCACACAGCAGATTGACACCACACAGATCTGAGTCGGGAACCCCACTTGGCTTGGAAGATCTGATTTTTGAGAAGAGCCTGAACTCCACCTTTAAAGGTGGAATCTCCAATCTTTAGATGCTAGAAATTAATCCAAGTTAATAGACTCCTAGCAATATGTAGATAAACAAAAGAGCCCATCTACAGGTTAAACTGGGCCCTTCGAAGCCTGTGTGTGGCCTGTGGGTTAAAATGGTGACTCAGATCCAGGGGCCAATGGGACTTCCATAATTAGAACTGCATCCTGGTTCCTGGTGGCCCGCCATGCCCCACAGACCTCTGTCAGCTCATGGAAGGCGGTCTGCTGTGTCCACCGTCCAGAAAACCCAGATTCACCATCTCCTACCCAGAGCTCCAACCTTCAGCCCTCCCAAGGTGGGTGAGGAGGTGGGGACAGAATGGCAGCCCCAGTCAGTTTGGAGCTAGAGGCCTGGGAGAGGGACTCAGTCAGTGATCACACGGTCACAGTGGCCCCCATCCTCACCCAGACCACCCTGAGAGCCCGGGGCTGTGACTGGTCCCATTCCAGCTCAGCGATTGAAGGCACAGATGGTCCATCCACAGTCACACGGCTGGCACAAGGCAAGCCTAGATGAAACATGGGCATGTACGCAATGCTTGGCTGTCTGCCTCTGAGGGTCTACACGGCCCCACGGGACAGAGGAGTGAGGCAAGTGTCCTGAGGATCCCGGCACTCAGTTCTCTTCATTTCCCTTCATCGATACGTAGCTATTTTCCATGTAACGGGCCTCAGCTGTCAGGGTCATACTCCCCACCCTGCCCAGGAAGAAACAGATTTTCTTCAAGAGATTCAAGACTCAAAAGCAAGGGCACATGATGACTCTGCCTGAGCAGTTTAGCCTTCTTGGGTCCCCTCGTCCTTAAAAATAAAAATTATGTTTTGTGACTGCATTTATATAAGATTCAATACTATATATAACTTCTTCCATTGAAAAGTTCATTTTCGGGTCTGACGTTAAAAGAAATTAAAATGTGCTTGAAGGCCCCTAGACGTGAGATGGGAACCATGCCCTTCCCGGTTCTCAAAGCACAAAGGCCAAGGACATGAACATCCACAGCCTGGGGTCTTGCTCATCCTAGAATGAGGCCAGGAAATCCCTGAATGGTCCTGAGCACAACACGGGGAAGCCCTCGGGCTGCCCCTGTTTGCCCATCTGTCAAATCGGCAGGACTGCTCAGCCTGTCCAGCCTGACTTCTCTGAGGGAGATCAAAAGGGCCAGTGAGAATCTCATGAAAAAGTAAAAAAAGACATCCCATGTCTGGTGTCATTCTTGATCCTCCATCTCTCAACACTGATAAGCAACTCTCCTCTCATGCGGCATCAAGTGTTGGTTTTGCTCCCAGCTCTGTGCTCGCTGGCAGCACACCCTGGACGTGGAGGGGACCGTGGCCGAGCCCCAGTTCTTTCGTCTGTGAAGCAGGATGAATATTCAGTGCCCAGAGTCTGGCATGGACACCAAGCATTACACAAATGGCCACCGTTGTCATGATCGTTCTCGTCATTATTATTATTAATAGTAAAGGAGGCAGCATCTGTGGGATTAGGAATCGCCCACGTGGATTGGGAAACATTTAACAAGCCCTACCGTGGCCCTGTCAGCACCACCAGGGGCTGCCTGGGGAGCTATGTACCCAATGTCATGTTACCCCTGGTCAGCAATGTGCCCAAGGCCCCCTCTTGCCTGGCCCAGAAGCCACAGAGAACCCACTTCTAGAAACCTCCCCAATCCCAGGGCAGGATCAGAAAGACTGGCTGAGCTGGGCACCCCCGGACGACCCCCGCAGCCGGCCATCTGAGTTAAAGGTGCAGGGAGTAGCCAAGAGTTGACTATCTGCTCCTTGTCCCCCAGGTCACCTAGCAGGTGACAGCCCAAAGCAAGGGTCTTCGGCACACTCCTCACCAGGCACCCCAACCCTGATAGAAAGAAGGGGAGCCCTTAGGAAGAAGGAGCCACCTACTTGGGTCTCGCCGTCTTTGCCAACAAGAACGCCCATGATGCAGGAGGTCAGCTGGGGGCGATGACATACATCCCAAGCCCCTGGTCGGGGGCACACAGGGAGATAACTGGGAGAGCCCCAGCCCAGCCCCAAGCCTGCCAGGCCAGCTCTGGAGCCAGTGTGGCTTGGGTCGCTGATGAGCCACTGATCCTTCCTGCTTCTAATCAAATTGAGGGGATGTGCCGGGAACTCTGCAGAAACGCCCCCAGGGAGGCCAGGTGGGGACCGAAAGGCTGCGGTTGCTAGGAAAAGCTGAGCTGTTGCTGGCAGAAACCAGGTCGCTAGGCGACCGTCTGCCTGTTACCAGGGCCCGTGCACGTCATCAGTAACCCCTGTGCCTCCACGAAGCCGGCCCAGAGCATCCTCCCTCAGCCAGGGACAGCCCAGTCCCTCCGCTCGTGCCCCACGCCCTCTGGCCCTCGCCCGGACATCACTCACTCTCCCAACTGGTGCCCTTGTCCCAACCTAGGGGCCCAGGGCCCAAAAGTTCCCGGAGTTGGAAACTTTGGATAGAAATTTGTGTGGATACTTGCGTGTCTGGAGCATTTGTGGGTAGCTACATATATGTGCTTGTGTGCAAGAGCATGCGTGCAGGGCATAGGGTGGCCACGTGCGAGTGTGTAGCAGTGTGCCTGCGTGTGCAAGTGTGGGTTGTGTGTGCAGGCTATGTGTGGGTGTAACTGTGTGCATACCTGCACACAACCCAGCGTGTCGGTTTGTGTGTATTTGTGTGTACATAGAGTGCAGATATGTGTGTGTGCCCATGTATACTGTGCACTGAGAACACATGTGTGTTTGCTACATGTGCGTGTGTGTGAGCACACTGACTTGCTGGCCTCTGAGGCGGAAAGCAGATGGCAGATGCGGCTGCACTAACATGGCTGGGCTGCACCTAAGTCTTCATCCAGGAGATCGGGTGTCACCTGTCAGGGAGGGCAGCCTGGCTCCAGGGGACCCAGAGGACAAAAATCGGACTGTGTCACAGAAACCATAGGGAAACATGCTTATTTTTGTGGAGGAAATAATTTCATAAGTCAGAGGTGTATAAGGATGGGATGGACAGTCCTCAAGAGGTTGTGAGCTCCCTATCATTGGAGGCAAGCAAGTAGGTGTGTAGCCTCCAGCCAAGGATGAAAAAATTATATGTGAACTAGGGATAGGTGGACTAAAACCAGAAGCCACTGAGCAGGCCTCCAGTCCGGAAGTCCTGTGTTGGTTTCACAGTGCAACGATTTCCTGCCTGGGACTGGAAGGGACCCTCAGTGGGGATGAGAACATCAACGACATTTGATGGGGCGCCCACTGCAGGCCAGGCCCTAATATGCCTGCTACACAGTTGGCCCTGTCACCACTCTGCTGGGGCTGTGTGTGGCTCCATTCTGCGGATGCAGAGGCAGATGCTCTGTGCGGTGTGAACTTGCCCAGATCACTCTGCCAGGAGGAGCAGAGCCCATGTCTCAGGGCAGGGAGGAAGGGTGTGGGCCAGGGGACACCATAGAGGGCCCAGTGACAGGGACAGGGAATAATGCAAGGGACAGGTTAAATCCGTCTGGACTGCCCCATGATAACAGCCTCCACACGGCTCTCCCTGCCTCAGCCTCTCCACAGTGCAGCTGCCAGATCACGCCACTCCCCTGCTCACAAGCCTTCAGTGGCTCCCCATTGTTCCTGGGAGAGCAAGTCCAAGGCCTTCACAACTGGGTCCCCTGCCTCTGAAGCACCATCTCCCCCCCCACCCATGTCCCCCAGCTATACTGTCACTGTCCCCAGACATGTGGGCTGTTTTTGAGGCTCTCTTCGAAACCCCCAGGTTCTATGCTCTTCTCGTCTCCCACTCCCCTCTTTGGTACCTTTGGGCCTCTCCTCTCTCCACGCCGGCTCCCCCAGCATCTCCTCCAGCCCCGCGGTTTCCAGTTCCGTCTATGCAGCCAGACTCCTGACTTTACATCTCCAACCTCTCACCCCCAACCCCACCCTCAGGTCCAGCTGTCTGCTCTCCATCTCCCCATCTGTCCCCTTTCCATCTGTCTTTCTGTCCAACACACATTGGGAAAAATCTTCTCCATCTTAGTGGTCTTTTTGTATTATTATTGAAATATGTTTGATACAGAACATTATATAAATTTTAGATGAGCAGCACGTTGATCTGGCGCGTTTGTAGATTATAATGTGATTGCCACCGTGATGACAATTAGCACCTCTACTGGGTGATATAATGATCATTTCTTTTTAGTTGTTGGAACAATTAAGATCTAGTCTCTCAGCAGGTTTGATGAATAAACTTTAAGTGGTTTCTGATCGCCATTCTTGAAGCATTATTACGACTGATTTTTCTGTGTGTTCAGGTGTAATCTTTATGGATGAGAGCAGAGAATCAACCATTCCAGGAGGACAGAATCCAGGGTAGCCTTCGCGGGGTCAGAGGCATCCATGGTACCATTGTGGGCAGGGTGGAGGGGGACGCAGCCCAATGCTTTGGTTCTATGACAGGGGCTGTGAGCCCGTTGCATGGGCCCCTTCCCTCCTCCATCTATGCATTCAGCCAACACTCATTTGGCACCAAGGATCTAGGGACATGGGAGTGAGCACAACAGACAAAATCCCCCACCCCCAGGGAGGCTGCATTCTAGTGTGTGTGTGTGTGGTGGGTGTGGGTATAGGTGTGTGGGAGGCTGTGAAGTGGTGGGCCATAGGAATTCCAGGTCATTGTGAGCACAGTGGGAGACCCCAGCTTCCCCAGCCTCTCTGGTCAGTGCCCAGCAGCACACAGCATAGAACAAACGGAGGTGCTCCCCCCCGCCCCAAGCAGAAGCCCCACTACCCCCACTGTAACCCTCCCTGGGTCACCCTTGCGGAGAAGACGAAGAACACACAAGCGCCTTACTCCAGCTCCTCCTCCTCTTCTTCCTCTTCCTCTCCATCCTCCTCCTCATCTTCTCTTTCCTCTTGAATCTGGGGCAGCTCCCTGAGTTGAGGTCAGAAGTAGGAAGTGAGGCCACCTGTAGCTCCCCCCATCTCACTCCTGTCTCCATTTTCAGGAAGATGTCCTGCGACCCCTGAGACCAGAGCTGAACTTCTCAACCAAGACTTGATCTGAGGAACCCCACCTGAGCAGCCTCTTCATGATACGAGGGACCTGACCCAGCCCCTACTGTCCTAGTGTCATCCCTAGATCAGCCCCTGAGCCTCTCTGAGCCTCAGTTTCCCCATCTTTACAATGTAGGTCATGGGCCCGAGGACCTGAGACCTCCCAGCTCTAGAGGCTATCACCAAGATCGCTGGTGGGAACAAAGATCATGCTGTCCCTATGGAGGGCAAGTGGCAATCATTACCATGGTCACACGTTCCCATGCCCCATGACCCCAGAGCCCCCCTTCCAGAAATTTGTCCTGGACACCTACTCATGTGCCTGTGTAAGGACAGCTGTGCCAGAGTGTTTGTTGCACAATTATTTATAATAACACAATTTCAGAATCATAAATGTCTGTGGTGGGCAGATTAGTCCAATTACGGCACATTCACACGGTGGAATATTAAGCAGTTGTAAAAACAACCGTGGGTGATCTTTCTGGGCATGGGAGGTAGAAAGACCAGAACGAACAGAGCAAGGTGCAGCAAGGAGGAGTGGAAGCAGGTTCGGTTCCTGTTCTGTAAGCCCCTTGGTACCTCTGGGATTCCCTACCACATGCCTGTTATCTTCCCAAACAATCACTTTTTTCCAGGGCTTTTTCCGGCTCCCACCTGGGCATCTCCTCCACGGCTTCGTTCTCCTCTTCATCAACTGGAACCACCTCTGAGCCCTGCAGGTCAGTGCCGCCGTCCTGACATTCGTGCTCCTCCCAGTGAGGGTCAACCTCTTCTAGGAGGAGATCGGGCTCCTCTTGGCCTCCAGGGAGAATGCAGACTGCAGGGGACACAGGGTGGGGGGGGGAGAGTGGGCTTGGGCCTCTGAGTCCCAGGGGCCACATGGGGGGGCCTCGGCCATCACCCACCGTGAGCCAGCTCTCAGGCAAGCAGCAGGAACAGCACCATTAAGCGGGGAACCTCAGCAACCAGATCAGTGCTAAGGTGCCGGGCTGAAGCTCGTGATCATTCACACTGTCTCCTGCCAGTCGTCTTCCCCCTCCTTTTCCTCTTGAGATAGAGCTTCGATTACAGTTAGCCTGTGTGTCCCCTTGGGCCTCCTTCTTGGAAGTTTGTGCAAAAGCAGAACCATGGCCTCACAGGTGATATGAAAGTTCCAGGCTGCAAGGCACAGTGGCCTGGACTGTCCCGAAGGATGCAGAGAGAGCTTGCCCCCTGCCTGTTCTCTAGATGCCGCCCACTGGTGACAGCATACTCATGCTCCTAACCTCAGCATCGGCTTCCAGAAGTCTTTCCCTTCTGGGCCTAGAGGCTCCAGCTTCCAAGGGGATTGACTTTCTGGTAGTGAAGGTCCCATCTTCAGATTGGAATTGGTCATTTTCACTGTTTCTTCATGTACCCGGGTCTCTGACAATGCAAACGGTGTGGGGCTGTGAGCCTGGCAGAAGTGGGCATAGGGTAGTCTCATCAGGAACCTAAGCCCAACAAGCAAGAGAAAGGGTGGGGGGAAGAGGGGAGATTGCCTGGATGCCAGGTGTTCCCAAAAACTCCAGGTCTTGGCTGGTTCTTGAACCAAGCATGAAATTATGAACAGTGACTTTAAATGGAAGTTGGTCTCGCATCTTATCCTGTGGCTGGAAATTATGGCTCACAGTGTAGAAGAAAAATAATATAATACCAGCTACATTTACTGAGCACTTACTATGTGCCTGTAGTGATACACACAGATTAACTCAATGAGTCCTCACACCAACCTTTTGAGGTGGGAATAATTGTTACTCCCCATTTTTTCCCTCTTTTATATTATTCCCCATTTTACAGATGAGCAAACTGAGACCCAGATTAAAACCTTCCTTTACAGGGTGCTTCCCATGTGCCTGGCACAGGGCTGTCTGTTTTCTGAGAGCTGCCCCTTCTGCTTCTGCCTCTAGCTCTCAAGTACAGACATTATCCTGCCTCACAGAGGAAGGATCATCCTGCCCTCCAAGGAAGTTTCCCCCGCCCCACCAGCATGCATCCTGAACTAGCCAGCCTTTTCCACGCCGGTCCTGGCTCCTCCGGCCCTACAAACACCCCTGGGGTCTGACCAGGGAGGGTCTTCCAAGCATGGCCCAAGTCCAGTGGTGGAACACATCATACACGTCATTCTAAAACACTGTCGTCATGGGGCAGCATCTCTACCCTGAGCAGCCACTTGGGGTGCAAGGCCCCACCTGACACAGCCGGGGACACCCAGGGGACAGGACAACCTCTGGCCCATGGGCTCATTAGCTTTCACCCCCTCTGCATGGGGAGAACAGGACTCTCGCCATTTTATAAACCACAGAGCCAGCTCAGAGAACCTGAGCAACTTGGCCAAGGCCCCACAGGATGTCAGAGGCATTGCCAGGTCTCCTGACTCCCGATTCCCTGGGGTGCTATCCCAGGAGATAAACATGCCCCGGGAGTGTCTCCCTGGCATGGGGGGCCTCGCCATAACAGGCACTGGATGAGCCCATATTTGGTGTTTTGAAGAGTTGGTGTGATCTTTGTTGACAGCCTTGCTTTCTTTTTCAACCCTTTCTATTCAGGAGCTCTTTAGTGAGTAAGCATTTTACAAGCTTTTCCTCCTTCCATGTCTGTGCCAGGCCTGTGAGCCATGCCCTATACTGTCCCCATATTATAGCCAAAGACTCTGTGGCTCTGAGAAGAGGACCATGACCAAGGCACTGGGCAGGCGGGCCAGGCACAGGGTACTCTGCCACACTGACCCAGAGCCGGGGTTCCGAGACCCTCTCTGTAGGCATCCAATTCACAGCTCTCCTAGCTTTTCCAGGGCCCCACCCCGGGGTCACAGATAAGGCCACTGAGGCACTGTGGGTGCTCAAGCTCCCACGGAAAGCCCTGCTCCATCTGGGGCTGAAACTTTGCCCCTGGGGTGCCTCACTGGCACACCAACTCCTGGCCAGCATCATCCCTGCCAGGCTCAGATGTCCCTCAGGGCATCTGAATGGGGTTCTGAGTCCAGCAGTGAAGTCCTCAGGTGCATCTGGGGACAGAGCTCCTGTTTCCAGGACCAGCAAACAGGGAGGGTGGGGGCATGGATTCCAGGCCAAGGCCCCCAATAGACCCTGAGTTGCTGGCAAAGCCTGAGCCCTGGCTCATTCTCTCCAGCAGGCCGGGGTCCTCAATGCTTCGGGTGTGGCCCAAAATTCAGGAGCCTTTGCTTCTTCGACCTCCAGTGCTTGCTCAGCTTCAGAGTAGTCTTTGTGAAGTCACTCCCCTGCTCAATCACCTTCAATGGCTCCCCATTGCCTACAGTCTAGTCCCCTAAAATCAGGCCCCATCTTTTCTAGTTTCACCTTCCGAACTAAGAACTCAGGATTCACGGAAGCACCCACCTCTCTCCCTCTCCCACCTCCAGGCCTTTGCTCACTTTATTCCCTCTCCCGCATTGCCCTCCCCTTGCCTCAGGGTTGGGACGTGAGGGGTCTCCAAGGCCAAGGCCTGGGGGACAGTGTATGTGGGTGAGGGGGAACGTGTTCCCGGTCTTTGGGAGGCAGCTGCTACTCAGACTGTCCTCACAAGCACAGTGCAGGTCCATTACAGCCAGACAGTCCCCATTTTCGAGAAGCCAGACTTTCCTCTGCAACGCCACCTCCCTTTTAGATGCTGGCAACTAATTCTAATATTGACAACCATTCCATGCCCCAAACACAGACATCTGTGAACCAGTTGGGGCCCAAAGCAACTGACTTGGGATCCCCGGCAAACTCCTCCTTCCTGCTCCCCCGACACCATAGGCCACGTGAACCCACCCATCTTCCGAACCTGAGCGCTCGTATTAGGTTCACCTGAAGCAAGGACATCATGCAGTCATAGTTTTGATGTGCCAATGTATGCTTTTTAATGTCAGTGAAGGCATGTGTCACTGTCCACTGGGGGACCCCAACTCTTTGAGGGAGAGAACACAGCCAAACCTAAGGGGATCCTCTTCTGGGAAAAACTGTGTCCCATGGGGGCACCAGCTGGGGGCCCGGCGCCACGCTGAAGGCTGTGCAGGGGACCCCTCAAAGAGAGTCCTGCACGGCCTTTCCCACAGCCTTCTGGTGGGAGGTCCTCCTGCTTTCTAGCCAGCCGCCCTTGGCCGCCCTTCTCCTTGCTTCTGTGGAAAGGGGCCGGCCTTAATCTCAGAGAGGTGGCTCTGGGACTGGCTGCCCTCGCCCTGCCTGGGAATGTGGGGAGCGGCAGGGGGGTGTCACTGTTCAAGTAGGGTGCAGGGTTGACAGCCACCTCTTCCCCTCCCCTGCAGGTCTTCGGCGCACCCTTCTTTCCTTCCATCCATCCGCTTGTCCATCCGCGCGCTCCCAGGACCCCTTCTGTCTTGTTTCAGAGGCCCCCCGCTGCTGCTACGCCTGAAACAAGACAGAAGGGGTGGGTGGCTGGGTGGGCAGGCGGAGGGAATGAACGAGCAGGTACGGGAGCGAGTGAATGGGCAGAGAGGCTGGGGCAGAGCCAGCGGCGGGGAGGACACTCATCCCCCAGTCTGTTGGGCTCACCTCATAGCGTGGGTTAAACAGTGCCCCCACCCCGCCCCGAAAACATATACTCAGTCCTAATCCCTGTAACCTGTGAAGGTGAGCTCGTTTAGAAACAGGGTCTTTGCAGACATCATCAGTTAAGGATCTCAAGATGAGTTCAGCCCAGATTTCAGATGGGCCTTACATCCCTGACTGGGGCCTTTCCAAGAGAAAGGAGAAGAGACTGGACAGACACAGAGGAAAAGGCAGGAAATCTACAGGACCCTGAGCATTGCCAGCAGCCACCAGAAGCCAGGGGAGAGGCATGGGATGCTTTCTCCCCAGGGCAGAGGGAGGAACCAACCCTGCCAACACTCTGAATTCGGGCCTCGGGATCCTGGGCAGACAGAAAATGCATTTCTGCCATCTGAAGGCCCCAGTTTGTGGTCCTTTGCTTGGGCAGCCCTAGGGAGCTCATACACCCGCTTCCTGGCCCTGGGGTCCCCGTGCCCACCCATGCCCCACATACTCTGGGCTCGCGGGGAGGCCCCGTCCACAGCTGGCTGAGTGCCCTTCCTCCTTCCAGGGGAGCAGAGAGGGGGAGAAGAGGGGCCAGGACCTCCATCTTCAGAGCTCTCTGGGGTCTCTGCTCCAGGCAAGGTTTTCTGTTCCTTTAGCCTCGACAACCACTACCAGGCCACGTGGATGCTAGTCACCACTCCGTGACAACCTGCTCTCCGACCTCAGGCACATCCCTGGGCCTCTGCCGGCCCCAACAGGCATATGGGGCTCACTATTTTCTGCAGGATATCCATGAGACCAGGCAAGCCCTGCACTGAGGCCTGCCCCTCACAACATCTTTAGCATCATCCAAATCCCATTTCTTCCTGTGGTTCCTAGGCCAGACCCCAGCTCAGCAGTCGCTGGCCCATCTGTACTCCAGGCTGTGGGGCCCTCCTCACCCTCAGCAGGCTGGTAAAGACCACCATCAGCCTAGTGAAGCTGGAGTGGACAGCCGGAGGACACCCAAGGCCTGTGCTCCAAGGGCCTTGTCCAGGGTGTAGCAGTGCCTCTACCCACAGGTCCTGAATTCTGCTTTGCTCACCTCTAGACTGTATCCCAGGCCTGGCAAAGGGCAGGCCTTCCATGGCCTTTGTGAATAAATACAGGCCCCATGGGCCACATGCTCTTCCTGAGGCCATGAAATGAAGGAAGGACAGAGTTTGGATCCTAGCCTTCCCCTCCTGGCCTCCATCCATCCCCCGATACAAGTGCAGGTCTGGGATAAAGGGCAGCACGCAGCTCCCCACCCCACCCATAGATGAAGGGAACCCTCCTGGCTCAAGAGAGCTGGAGTTTACAGGACCTAGCTTCCCCAGGGAAACTCCATGCCTCCCCCCTCTACCCTCACCCGGGGACTCTGCTCAGCCCCACCCATTGGCCCCGGGAAGCAGTGGGGGGCTTTCTCTGGGTGTTCCCAGAGGAAGGGGGTCCATCCAACTTGGCCTCAGAACAGTTTTCTCTGCATAGAAACTGGAAGGCAAGCCAGGTCCCCCAGCATGTCTCTCCCCAGCCCCGCAGAGGGGTCTCCAGCCACAGTCTGGCGCTGGGCCAGGCTGACCTGAGGGAAGGTCTGCAGGGCAAGGGCTCTCTCAGCTCCAGGTCAGGGGCCTTGAAACCCCAAAGCAAGTCTAGGCCTGGCCAGCTACCAGCCCACTGTGCACTCAGACCGAGATACCCTCCAGGGACGCCCATTAGGACCCACTAAGGTGTCACTTACTTGGCTGCATGTCACATGTCCCAGGGGCATCAGGCTCCTGCATGGGGAGAAAGGGGGGAAATGTCATGTCTCCTCAGCAGCCTCCCTGCCCCCAACACCCCTCCCAGCACAGACAGAAGCAAGAGGGTTTTCCTTATCCCCTACCAGGACACCCACAGAAGGTCCAGTTCCTCCCAGCCCCTTTCTTGCCTGCTTCTCCCCTCCTGCCTCTGCGCTTGCTCCCTGCTCCAGGCTCTCCCCTCCCCGGATCACCTCTTGGTCCCCCCCACCCAGCTCCTCTGCTAGGGCTGGGCCCCCTGCCTGAAATGCCTGATTACATTCTGCTCTCTGTGTGGGGAAAACCTCCTCCCAGCCTTCCCTGGGGAGCTGTCTCAAAGCTCTGTCTACAGGAGAGGCCTCTCCCCACCAGCACCCCACCTTCCCCTGCCCCAGCCCCATCCTCAGGGGCCCCTGCTCTCTGTGAGGGCATCTTCCTGGACACAGTGTTCTGACTACCAGGACCCTTTTTTTCTTTTGGAAACCTCCAAAGCTGTGTCTCCTTTGCGCCCCCCCCCCCCCCCCCCCCCCCCCCCCCGAGAGGCCACATGGACATAGAGCCTGAGGGCTCGGCCTATAGGGAAGGGGGCCCTGAGGCCAGGACTGGGACCCAGGACTCCCACCCCCCAGTTTCAGGTGCTGCTCTCAAGATACACAATTGTCCCCAAGGGAGAAGGGCCAGGTGCCAGGTTCTTTTTAATTATTTTTTAAAGATTTTATTTATTTATGGGGCGCCTGGGTGGCTCAGTGGGTTAAAGCCTCTGCTTTCGGCTCGGGTCATGGTCCCAGGGTTCTGGGATCGAGTCCCGCATCGGGCTCTCTGCTCGGCAGGGAGCCTGCTTCCCTCCCTCTCTCTCTGCCTGCCTCTGTGCCTACTTGTGATCTCTGTCAAATATATAAATAAAATCTTAAAAAAAAAAAAGATTTTATTTATTTATCTAGAGAGAGACAAAGCATGAGCAGGGGGAACAGAAGAGGAGGAGGGGCAGAGGGAGAGAAAGAATCTGAAGCAGACTCCCTGCTGAGCTCAGAGCCGGAAGTGAGGCTCAATCCCATGACTCTGAGAACAGGACCTCTGCTGAAATTAAGAGGTGGCTGCTAAACCAACTGAGCAAGCCAGCACCCCCAGGTGCCAGGTTCTTGGAGAAGGAAAGGAAGAGGTGCTCCCCCACCTACCCATGTAAGAGTCCTAGCTTCTCAGAAATGCACAGAGGGCCCTCTGTTTTCCTGCAAGCCCCACTTCTTCCCAGAACATTCCAGGCCTCTCCTGTCTCTGGCCCTTTGCATATGCTGATCCTTTGCCTGAGGGCTCTTCCTACACTCCCCCTCTTCACTTTTACCCACCCCCATCCTACTTCCACCTCGGGTCTCAGCTTGCAAGCCACCTCCACCGGGAAGCCTTCCTTCATGTTCCTGGGAGGCTCCTCCACTGCACCCCGCATCCTCTCTGCTCCCTCCCCTGACTATGACCCCTGGTTAGTAAGGCTGGGCCAGCACTTCTCAGCCCCATGGCCAAGCTGCCCCACAGTGTGTGTGGAAGAAATGTGAGCCAAGCAGATGGGCAGATTGCCTGGGCTGCACTCCCACGACAGGCTCCCTCCTTCCTTCTATGTCATCCATCTGAGCTCCCAAGACCCTTTCCACCCCGACCGAGGCCCTGCTCCGCCCGCCCCACTCCACCTGCCCCACACAGACCTGCTCCCCAGCCTTCCCGTGGAGCGTGGGCTGCGGCAAGGCCCTCTCCAGCCTGAGCAGGAGCCAAGCCATCAACCTGCATGTGGGAGAGAACAGGCCATGTCTAAGCGGCAGGGCTCATGCAGAAACTGAGACCAGAGCCGGGTTCCCACCACGGCAGACAGCGAGCCCAAGGGAAGGCAGATCAGAACCCAGGTGTCCAGCCCCAAAGACCGTAGCCCTCCGCCCTGGCGTCCCTAGGCCAGCCTCTGGGACTGCTCAGACCCTGGCAGGCAGCCCCGCAGCCTCCCACCCGATCTGGAGGTGCAAGCCGGTCTCTTCCCTGCCCCCAGGGTGGGAGCATTTGGCCACACCTGCCCCGATTTTTAAGGCACGCAGCCTTAGGCTCAGCAGCTCCAGTTCCTTGGACTGAGCTACAGATGGACTTGCAGGTGAGCCAAATGATGCTTGTACAAGGCCACTGAGTGCAGCAAGAGTGGAAACAAACCTAAATGGCCAGCAAATGGCTAAAGCGAAGCTGGTGTAGCTATATGATGGGGCACCTGGAGGCTGCTGAAAGAGCGAAGCAGGCCCACGTGCACAAGACCACCTCTAAGAGACACTTTCCAGTGAAAGAAACGACATGTGGAGCAGTCTATAGATTTTGCTGTTGTCTGGTACGTTTTCAGCTACAGGAGAACTGGACCCCCTGGCCTGTGTGTGCAGGCAGAATGTGTTGGGTGACAGTGGTGGACAGGGCTGCCCTGGGAAGGACTGCTGGAAATCCCTTTAAATTTTCCCCCAGGGGGATATGTTTAATTTAAAAAACTAGTTTGGTAAAGTGTTGGGTGTGGGTCTGGAGCAACGTACTGGTCCTGCTCCCCAGGAAAGGTGCAGCATTTGGGGGACTCACCTGGCAGGGTCGCTGGGGGACAGCAGGGAGGAAGCCTGGGAGCTGGGCTGGGGCTCTGAGGTCAGCTCCTCCTTGGGCTCCGGGGGGCCCGCCGTGGGCATGCAGGGGCTCTCTGGGGCCTGCAGCATGGGCTCAGTTTCCAAGGTCGGTTCTGGGTTCTCCACGCAGTGGGGAGAGCAAGAATCTAAAAACGACAAGGCAGGGCTCCATGTGACCCCTCATGGGCACTGGGGGGCCAGATGCAAGGCCCCAACATGACTGAGTAGGGAATCCCTTGGGCCCACTCCAACTACCCCCTCATCCAACGGACATGGAACAAAGACTCAGAGAGCTCAAGGGACTTGTCTGAGAGCTCGCAAGACCTTCCCACTGGCTTCCCAGCCTGGACTGGGGAGGGGTTCCGAGGCCCCCCACAGCAGCCCACTCCTGGAGAGCCTGGGTGATGGCTAAGATCCTCCCCCAGGATCCCTCAGGCCCCAGCAGCACCCCAGCCCAGCCTGTGACCATGCTGGGTAGCCCATCCCAGATCCCCTCCCTGTACCTGGGCCCAAGGCAGCATCGTCAGGCTCATCTCTCCAGTCCTAGAGCAGAAACAGGGAGTGGGGGCATAGAACAAAGCAAGCCCTGTGCATTCCCCCCGCCCCGGCCAGCTGTGCCTAGGGCAGGTGGGGCAAGGGGCTCCATCCTTCCCTATGAACCCCCCTTGCTCTTTTGCAGTCACTCCTTTCCATCCAGAACCCTCCAGGGAGGACAATACCCCCTCTATGTGTCCCAAGGGTGAAGACAGCCTGCTGGGTCCTTCCTGGGGCCCCAGAAACCCTCCCAGGTGGTCATCTGCCTGCTCCCCCTTTTCATTGACTTACCTTGGAGGTTTTGGGGGGCTGAGGCAGCACTTTCTCCAGATTCTGCTCAAGCCACCTGAGCAGCCAGTGTCCAGACCTGCAAAGGGGCCAGAGGTCAGTGGAACAGCCTAATCACACTGACCTGAATGTCTATTGGAGTCCCAGGCTTCGACCAGCCCTTCCTCACCTCTGGTCCCACTGTGCACAATGGAGACCCTCTCCTGGATACTCTGGAAGGGCCTAGGTTAAGCGGGGAACTTCCACCAGCCTCAAATTCTGACCCATGCCTGGACCAGGCCCGGAACAACAGGCCTAACCCTGGCCACCTGGGCAGCAGGTGAGGAATAAGGGCTGCCTGGGAACCTGAATGCAGCATGGGGGAGGGGGGTGGGGATGGCAAGTCCCTGTGCCTGGCCCAGATAAGTCTGGCTCCACTGGTCTGGTAGCAGTGCAGTCACACAGGGGCCGATACTTACAAGGGCCTAGTTTGAGTTTCATGCTGTTGTCACCACCTTAAACTCAATCTTAAACTTAAATTCTTTAAAATATTTATTTATTTGTTTATCTTAGAGAGAGTGAGAGCAAGTGCACAAGCATGAGAGGCAGAGGCAGGAGAGAGAATCTCAAGCAGACTCCCCTCCGAGTGTGGAGCCTGACACAGGGCTTGATCCCACCACCCAGAGATCATGACCTGAGCCAAAACCAAGAGTCTGACACTCAACCGACTGTGCCACCCAGGTGCCCCAAACTCTTACTAATTTTTTAAAGGAATCCTGTCTTTTAATTTTGCACTGGGCCCCACAAATTACATAGCTGGTCCTGAGGCAAATGAGTCCCAGATCTATCTGGCCTCCATGGGGCAGCCCCTCCATCTGGGAAGAAGGGAAGCTCCCTGTTCCTAGGGGAACGCATCCTCCCAGGTTGGGCCCAAAAGAGAGCTGGCAAGCCCTCTAGGGACCTTCATCCTAAATGGCTTTATTGGTCTTGTGAGTCAGCAGAGTGGCCCTGGGGACACCTGAGCTGGGCAGCTTCCAGGAGACAAAAAGAAATAGCCTGTGAACTAGAACAAAGAGTGAATGAATGGAGTACGTTCATTCATTCATTCATCCCCTCTGTGCTGAGTCCCCTCTTTATGGCAGGCACGGTGCTGGGTGCAGGGGGAGGGGGGTTCAACAACAATAAGACAAAAGCCTCTGCCCTCAAGAACCCAACAGTCTAACAAATGAATAAGGGGAGGAATGAATGAATCAATGGGGTGAATAAGGATGAATGCATGACTCTGGGATTCCAGCAGAAATTGCGAACTGGAGGCTTCAGGCTTACTTGGGAGGTCCACAGGGTCCCAAAAAAGTTTCAATTAGTTGGCAACAGCTAAAAATTAAGGATTACATAAAAACCTAAATTTCTAGCTTCTCTTGAAAAATTAGAGGGTCTGTCCACACTGGGACTGAACTCCTCCAAGGCACGGGCAAGAGGGGCTGAGTAGGGACCCGCATAGAGAAGGCCGTGGGCTCCCCTGTTTGACATAGCCCTCACCCAGCCGGCCATTGTCCTTGACAAGAGAGCCAGCTGCCCACCTTGATCAAGTCTGAGAAGTCCAAAGCTATTGCCAACTGTGAGGCCAACCTGGGTACCTCTGTGTCCCCCACAGCGGCCCCAGCCTTGCCCTTGGGCTCCACACGACACCCATGTACACCAGCCCATCTATGAGAACCCATTCTTGCCTCTTCCCCAGGGCCCCTCACCTGGGGATCCCCCAGAAATCAGGACAATAAACACAGGGGAACACAGGGCCCTTTGGCTCCATTTTATGGATGAGAAAAGGGAGGTCCAGAAGAGATGAGAGGCAAGTCCAACATCACACACTGAGGTGGTAGTGGACCCTGCTTCTGAACCCAAGACCCTCAGCTCTGCACACACGGCTCCTCCCACTTCACACATTACACATGAGGCTCAGGGGCTCCCAAACCAGTGCTCAGGGATGGGGACTCACCTGGTGTCCTGGGCCCCAGGGGCCTCCATGAGTCCATCTGCAGAAGAAAGGAAGGTGGTCAGCAGCAAGAGGCCCACTCAGACCCCCTTCTCAGGTCAGCCTCACTCAAACCCAGGCTCAAATCTGGGGCCAATCTGCTGAGGGTCCCCCACCTGTGGGCTTTCTGCAGGGGCAGGGCCCACACCAGGCTCCCCTAGTCCCATCCCCGAAGAGCCATCCCACCTCCTGGCCTTACCTGAGCCCCCAGTGTTGCACTGCCCGGATGTCTGTGCTCCTGCCTGCCAGGACAGATGGACAGATGAGGACAGAGAGCCCAGATGCAACGGCCTCCCACCCCACCCACCTCAGCTCCCGGCCCCAGAAGTACCTGACTAGGACCCTCTGGGCCAGCAGCAACGCTCTGGACGGGCCCACCACTGGGGACCGGCTGTGGGACAACCTTCTCCATGCCCTTCTTGAGCCAGCTCAGCACAGAGCTGCTGGAACTGCTGAGGGACAGAGATACAGACCTACCCGCCAGGCCCACAGCCCCTCCCTGGTCCGAGGGGCCCTCCACAGTGTCTTAAAGAACTCAGTTTGAATCCCAAAAGCCTATCTCCCAACTCTGAGACTTCAGATATGCCACCTTCCCCGAGTCTTGTGTCCAGCTTGGAAAATAGGGGACACTGCACCTTGGCGAGACCAGGTATGTCCAGGGCCATCCTGAGCCCACCCCTATCAGATGCTGGGTACAGAGCAGCCAAGTTCTGTCATCCTGCTTTCCCCCTAACCCTGGCTCCAAGGGGTCCCCTCCTATACCTGCCACACATCCTGTGCTCCAGAGGGTTGAGGGCTTCCTGTGGGGTGCTTCCTTGTGGCTGAGGCTGGGTAGCCTCAACAGGAGGGTCACAGACTCACTGCCTGAGGCTAGCCCCCCACAGGTAGGCTCACTTGGATAAGCGCTAATGGTCTAAAATGAGCCAACTTGGAGACGTCATCTAAAAGTCTGGATTTCTGGCTCAGTTAGGAAAAGTGGGAAGCTCTGGCTGCACTGCATATGCATTTCCCCCAAGCACTGAGGACACTCTGGCCCCTTCTCACTGTTTCTCTTGGTCTCACTGTCTACCTGGCCCAGGAGCTCCCTGCCCTCTGCCTGAGGCTCCCTTCAGCCAGTTTCCAGGATGTTCTGTGCAGTTGCCTGTGAATGACTAAGACCTGAGAGCAAGGCTGGCCCCCACCCCCAAGTGGCTCCCTAGTTTTGGGGGGGCGGTGAGGCGCTGGCCCCCAGGAGAAGGAAGGGCGGTGTGGTACCTGTTCACTTCAGGAACCACAGTGACCTGGGCCTGGAGGGATGTAGGCGAAGTAGGGGCAGCCTCCTGGATGTCTGGAAAAGAGTCCCTCATACTTTAGATCTGGAGCTTCAGAGTGGTCCATTTCTACCCTGCTAGCAAAGTCAAGGCAGAGGCAGGGGAAAGGGGAGAGCCCCAAGGGAGTCAGAAGGGCAGGCTTCCAGCTCAGCTCAGCTATAAGGTCCCCAGCAGCCCAGCCCTCAACTTCTCTGAGCCTCAGTTGCTTAGTCTGTGAAATGGGCCCGCCAGCCTGTGGATGGGGCAAGGTCCAGAGGGGGAACACACTCCTCCCGGCTGTCCCGCCCACTGACCGGGGCTTCCAGCACTCACCCTCAGGGCCTGGGTCAGCTACAGCCAATTCCTCTACCCCCAAAGGCTCCTCAGGTGGCTGGAAGGTTCAGACAGGACCATGTAAGCCCTCAGTGAGACCAGCCTGGTTCAAACTGGGGCAGCCCCTGACCCACCCGCAAGGGACTCCCTCACCCCACAGGACCAAGCCGCTCTGTTCTCACAATCGTCCCAGTAAATCCTGTCAGCTTCAGCTTGGTACACTCCCTACCCAGAACCCCAAGGGGCCTCCATCCCAGGTGGGGCCCTCACCGCGCCCCCCATCAGGGTAGCACCCCGGGGCCTTCCACATCCCTCAGGAAACCGCCCCACTCCAGCGGCCGAACAGGGAGGAGGGCTGGTACAAACTGAGGTGGGGGGAGCTGAGCAGACCCCTCAAATCTAGCCCACGGCCAAAGCTCTCTTCCTCCTTCGCACCAAACCTTCCACTACACCCCCCCAGCCCCCGGGGGCATTCAGCACCTGCCAAAACCTCTTATCTGCTTCCATGGCTGCTGCACCTACGGCTGCGCACGCGCACTCACGTGTACAGGCGAACCTGAGCGCGCACGCAGAGACGCTGACACGGGCGTGCTCACCGTGACATGTAAATGTATGAGCTCCCGTAAATCTCCACATATGTGCAGAGGCATGCGTACATGAGCACATGCGTGTATACAGGCAGTAACACAGGGTGTAGACACACGTGAACAGACACAAAAACAAGTTTATCTGCCTGCACGTGCATGTGTCCGCACACGTGCATTTGCACTCGCATGTGCATGCATTCCTCACCACACAGGTGTGTGCAAACAGGCACATGCAAACCTATTCATATATATGTGTGCAGGTATGCAGGTGCACACATGTGTAGATATCTGCAAGTATCAGACACAGACACACAAGTGTGATCATGTGCACACACAGATATTTGCATATACACACAGAAACAGATATTTGTGTGTATACACAAGTACATATATGTACGCTCAGTCACATAGACATGGGCTTATACACACACATGCACTGACACAGACATGTCTTCATGAGCACATCCTTTCACGTGTGTATTAACACAAACACATATAGATGAACATACATACACATGTACACCTGCACACACAAAGGTCTGCATCTGAACACGCATATGTGAACAGGCATGCACAGACGTACAAAATATGTACATGCACAGACATGCAGATACATATAAACCTGTCGGTACATACATACATGCACAGATACACAGACATGTGCGCAAACATAGGAATACATTCACAGACTCAGAAACGTTTGCATACACACACTTACACGCTTACAGCCTGCCCCACGTGCACATGAAACTACAGGAACACCGATGCATGTATGCGCATGTGTACATGTGTATTATGTGCACACAAATATGTACACGTTTGCGTGCACACGGCTTGCTAATGCTTATGTATGTGCAGGTATCCCATTAAGGAAACAGGGCACGCACATGTGTGTACACACGTGCACATGGGAATACTATGTGCACAAACCCTATCCCAGGGTAGTCACTGTTTCCTGAACATGCCCTGCACTTCCCAGGACTCACCCTTCCTCTGCCAGGGACACTCCACCCTCTTCATCTCCAGTCACACTGGGCCCAGCCCACCGTGTCTGGGAGGCACTCCCCCACCAGCTTCCACTCTCCAAATTTAAGATGATTCTCTCCCTCTTCTGAGCTCCCGTAGTTCTGCCTGATACACTTGCTTGGCCCTCCTGGGAGGGGAGAGCTGAGCCCAGCGCTGGACGCCCTGGCATTTCCTTATCACCTCTGTCTGCTGTTAGAATGACCTGGCTGGTACTTGTCTACTAAGCCCCTGGGGGGCGATGCCTTATTCCTCATCAGGCTCCCTGCACAGCGCACAGGCCTGGCATCAGTTAGAAGCTAAGTCAAATCTGTGTCACTGAGCTTCTGGACTCGTGGTCATCAGGATCCTGATGGATGGGAGGCAGAACTGGCAAGTTTGGATGCGCTCGAGTTCCCCCCCACAATGGAAGGTCCCTGCAGGGCGGCTGACCCACGGTGGGGATCCCCTGAGCCGCGAGCCCAGCAGCCCTTGCTCAGCCTCCATGTCTCACCGAGGATTCAGCCCCTTGCTCAGCCTCCGCCGGGGCTGTTTCAGGTTCTGGCCCTGGTTCCGGCTCCACCTCTGGCTCTGGTTCTGCCCCCTCCTCTTCCTCCAACTTGGTCTTCTGAGGGGTCCCTGGGGGCTGAGGCAGCACCCTCTGGACCCAGCTCAACATCCTGACACCTGCAGGAGATGGGTCCTTAGGCACCCTCACAGTGCCCACCATGGCTCCCACCACTTGGGACCGCTCTTGTGGGCCACACATTTCCTTTCTCTCATTCATCTTTCAAAACATTTCCACAAATTATACCTCCAGGTACTCACCTGATAGAAATACTCAGGCAAAAAAAAAAAAAAAAAAAAAAAGGAAAGAAAAGAAAAATACTCAAGCCAAAAACATGTGTATAAAGAGGTTGGTCACCACAGTGTTACAACAAAAGATGAAAAAAAATCCAAGTATTCATGAGTAGGACCCTGGTTATTGGAAAATACCTGAATGTTCATCTATAAGAGAGACACGTATTAAATAAATTATAATACATCCAATAATGGAATATTATGGAGCCATTAAAAAAAAGTGGCTCTATTTGAACTAATATGGAAAGATGTACATGATCTGGACTCCAGTCATGACCAAATTAATTAAACTCTCTGTGCCTCAGTGTGCTTATCTATCAAATGGGCATGTTACAGAACCTATCTTGTGGAGAGGATTGTGAGGATAAAATAAACAGATACAAATGTGACAGGCATACACTGGGAGCTTAATAAATGTTGACTGAGACTCATATTTGGTGTCAAGCAAAAACACCAATTGTAGAATATCATGTTCAGCATGATCCCAATATAAATTTTTAAAGATATATTATGAATTGCATACGAATGGAAATATTTTAACATAAACGTGAACCTATTTTCATGATGTAAAAATGTTTAAGGTGACAAATTCCCTTTTCAAGATGTACTGTCCTACCTTATTTGGGTCCAGTCTCTGGCATCTTTTCCCTTCTGGGGACGGAGGGGCCTCCGTCCTTACAACTAAATCCTTGTGGGCTGGCCTGGCCCAGGGAGCGCCACACAGGTTCCTATGTGGGAACTCCCACCCTCAAAAGGCCCTTCTGAGGTGATGCCCCATATGACAGAGTGCCTCTCTGTCCCTCCTCTGCCAGGGACCCTACTCCCACGCTGAAAAGGACAGGCGTAGGGCCCAGGATCCCTGCCCCAGTGCCCAGCTCCCCACTGCCCCCAGCCATGCTCCCTGCCCTTCTACTCACAGCCCTGACTTCTGCCCCAGCTCCGGCCTCAGCCACCCAGCTCTCTTGGGAGAGGCTGTGGTGAGGGGCAGAGCTCCAGATGGGAAATCAGATACCTGACTCCATGTCCAAAAATGGGAACCTGAGCCAGACGTGAACCCCTCCGGCCTTCCATTTCCTTGCTGGATGGAGGTGCAGACACAGTGATTTCCCAGGTGGGGAGAGCCCAAGATCATATGTTTAGGATGGCGGATGCCACAGCCCCAGGCAACCCCGTGATCCCAAACGGAGCTAAGTGTCGTCTACCCCAGATCACATTCACCTCATTCTCCCACCTTCCAGCAGCCTCAGGAAGGTAAGTGCTACCACTTTATAGCTAAGGAAACAGAGGCACAGAGGGATCGGAAGACTTGCCCAACACCACACAGCTGGGAAGCAGCCAAGCTGAGTCACACTCAGGTCTGCTGGCCTCCAGATGTCCCACGTCTACCCCTGCAGGCCAGTCCCGCAGACCCTTTCCCAGTGGGCAGCACTTCTGGTTTTCTGAACCTTCTGGAAATGACCAGGGAAGCCTTCCCCTCTCCCAACTTTTCTCCTTCCCCCAGATCCAGTCATTTCCTCCCTCATGAACATACCTGCACGTCCCTGCCCACTCCACAATGATAGGGAGGCAAAGGTGGGAAGGGGGAGCTGAGAGTCCAGGGTAACTATGGCGCTGGGACCACCAGCCTTTCAGAATCTTCTGGGAAGCTGGTGACAGCAAAGATTCCTAGGCTCCTCTCAACCCTCTGTGGGACCTGGAACCTGCATGTCACAATCTGCCTTGAGGAAGCTCCAGGTTCCCAGACTTGCCTTATTCTAAATGCCTTGGTAGAAGGAGAGCATAGGGGTCCCACCAGAGGTCCCTCTGAGCCGCGACCCCATCCTAACTTACCCACTCAGATGCTGACCACCAGCCAGGAATCGCCTTCTCCCCACCACTTGCCTCTGGTCTCTCAGACACAGGGCGGATTAGGCAGCAGTGGGCCGTGTGCAAAGGATTAGTAGGTGCCCGACAGAGGTGGGGTGGTGGTGGTGGAAGACAGGAGCTGGACAGCCAGGCAGCCAGCGGCAACCCTCCAGGGGCCAGCAGGGATCCAGGTCCCAGGGAAAGAGCCCCAAGTGGCCCTGGTTGGGGCACCACAGGTTGCCAGGGGACCCAGTGTACCACACACCTCGGCCAAGGCACACTGTGATGGACGGGAGAATAACACCTTTGTGTCCCCGTGTGAGGGAGTGAGGTGCTGGGGGAGCAGTTATCCCTTGGGGCCCTGCACTTGCCCTGTGGCCCCCTCCCAGAGCTGAGCAACCTGGAGGTAGCAGAGACCCTAGGGAATGGGCAGTCGGATGTGCCTGGGGGAGAGCAGGTGCTCTAGGGTAAGGGAAATGAGAACAAACTTTGGCCATACGCCAGCTGGGAAGACCCGCATGTGCGAATATATGGAGGTAAAGAAGCCACACTCAAAAGACACCGATGAGCCATATAGATGAAGCTCAGAAGCGGCAAAATTAGCCTGTCTTGTCTACGGCTACGAATACAGATGTAAAGCGACCAAGAAAAGCAGTGATGGCTTATAGCCAGAGAGCGGTTACCTCTGTGCAAAGTTGGGCTGGGGAAGCTTCTAGGGGCTGGCAGGGCCCTCCCTGCTTCTTGCTTGCTTTAGCTGACATCAATATTTTATTCTTTTTTAAGATTTTATTTATTTATTTGACAGAGAGAGACAGCGAGAGAGGGAACACAAGCAGGGGAAGTGGGAGAGGGAGAAGCAGGCTCCCCGCCAAGCAGGGAGTCCGATGTGGGGCTCGATCCCAGGACCCCAGGATCATGACCTGAGTCAAAAGCAGACACTTAACTGACGGAGCCCCCCAGATGCCCCTGGAATCCGTTTTTTAAAACAACTTACTGAGGTATAATTTCTATGCCATAAAATTCGCCCATTTGGAAGAAATTGACTGAGCGAGGCAATTTGCACCACCCAGACTTAGAACCTTGCCATCGCCCTAATGAGACCCTTCATGCTGGATGGGAGTCACCCCCATCCTCAGCCACAGATCTGAACAGCCACCGATCTGCTTCCCATCCCCCTAAGTGGGCCTCTTCTGGACATTTTCTATAAATGGCTCATACAACACACGGAGTGTTTTTGTGTCTGATTTCTTTCATTTACCGTGTTTTTGAGAATCACCCATGTGGTACCATGTATTAGGACTTCATTTCTTTTAAATTCCTGAATATTCCTTGGTGGGGATATACCACAGTGTAGGAACGGACACTTGGGCTGTTCTCACCCATCGGCTATCTGAAATCATGCTGCAGTGAATACTTTCATGCCAGCTTCTGTGTGGTCATCTGTATTTCCCATATGCTTGGGAAGATTCCTAAGTGTAAAATTGCTGTGTTCTGTGGTCATTTTATGTGCCATGTTTCAAGAAGCTGCAAAGTTTTTGCAAAGTAGTACCTGTTGTCTTGGCCTGAATAATAGATCGTGGGCTCTCGCATCATAAATTATTAGTTACGTTATATATTTACGCACTTGCTGCATTTCGTTGTATTTTATAACTTAAAAAAAAATTAACAACCAATCAGGGGTGGGGTGGTGGGTAGAGGCGACTGTGGGAGAGTTTTCTCTAAGGGGTGGGGCTCGGGGATGCTGCCTGCAGGGTGGGGAGGGTGGGAGCCCTGAAGGTGGAGCCACGAGGGAGCCAGACCCCACATGACCCTTCCAGGAGGCATCTGCCAGGACCCAGGAATCTCCGCACCTGGGCAGAGGTCTGTGGAATATATGCGAATACAGGCAAAGGCATTAGACTCTCCCCAGGTCTCCCCACCTGGGGCCTGCCGCCGCCAATGGCTGGTACCAGGGTGGTGGGCAGGCACCGGGGCTTTCGGGTGCTGGGCTTAGCCACTTGTGACCTCTCTTTCCTGGAAAGGAGGGAGGGAGGCTGCAGGCCCGCAGGGGGCCAGGGCTAGAATATCACCTGCTAATCCCTACCCCTGCTGAGGCCACCACTCTCCCTGATCCCTTTATGCTGACCCTGGCTACTGGGCACTGCTAATCGCCACCCCCTGGAGACCCAAGGGCTGGGGGTGGGGGGCAGGGCAGTGCCCTCTTCTCTTGGTCGCCTAACATGGCAGGGCCTAGGGTCTCGCCCAATGTAGAACCTTGGGGCCCAGAGAGAGACAGCGATTAGCCCAGGATCACACAGCAGGCCCTGGCTCGCCCTGGCAGGGCCACCTCCAGGGGGTTCCACTTCCCATCTGACATTTCTCAACATGCCTGGTTTGTTCTAAGGCCTGGGAGACGGCAACCTTCAGGAAATCCGAAAGCGGGAGCCAGTGAGCAACAGCCCAGGTATCTGGCTCCTCTCCAGCGTTGCCGAGGAGTGGGCGCCCTCACAATCAGGCGGCAATGGGCGTTGTCTCTCTGCAGAATGTTCCTTTATTCTCCTACTGTATAAGGCACTGGGGCCAGCCCATCTCCCTGCCTCTTCTCCCCACTGAGTGGTCAGGAGAGCAGGAAAGCCTCACAGGCCTGTGTGCCTGCAGACCAGGTAGCTGCAGTTGGGGGTCCAGGAGCAAGGAGTCCTTTCCCCCCTCTTCTCCCTGCCCCACTTCCCTGCCCTCCCTGGGAAGGTCCACCCCCTGAGACAGCTTCCCTAGGGCCAGTCCCCTTGCTCTCTCCCTGCTCCTCCACCAACCAAGGTCCCGGCTTCTCCTGCTCACCTACCACTCACCTCCACCTCCCGCACCAACTGGGTCAGGCATGAAGCAAGCCGACTCCACAAATTCTCACTCAAGTTTCAATGACGGACAAGCCGTGGGAATAGCCACTCTTTAAAGGGAGGCAAGGAGCAACCAGGAATGCTTTCCTACTTCATATCTCTCATGCCTCGCCCCTTATTTAAAACTACCCTATGTCTCCCTGTAGAATTTTGAGTAAATGCCAGATACTTTCCCTAAGGCCAGAAGTCCATAATTAGCTACTCAGAGGCAAACGGAGCTAAATTCTGAACCCACTTGCCGGGGCTGCTTCCCGATCACGATTTAAGAATAGACTCCCATGCGTCTGCTTTTAGGCTGTTCCGGCCCTGCACACCCTGTCCTGACCTGTCAGAGCCCTTAGCCAATCACATGTGTGCAGGGGGCGGGGAGGTGAGTCTGAATGTCCCTGACTCCGCAGGGGGAGTCCCCAGCTCTGGGGAGGAGTGTTGGGCGAGTAGAGAAATCGGCAGCGGCCAAGGTCGTGTCACTCCATAGAAGAGTGTTGGGTCGGGGTGTCTCTGCTCCCCAGCCATGGCCCGCATCATCGACCTGGTGCCCTGGGACGACGGCTCCACGCACGTGTACGCGTCCCCCGCCATCCTGCTGCCGGTGGAGCGGCGGCGCAACGCGCTGGCCGGGGTGAAGCAGCAGCTCTACCACCCCGCCCTGCCCAGCCTGCGCCGCATGGACATGGACTCGGTCAAGGCCTGCCTTTCCGACGAGCACTGTCGGTGCTCCACCTACTGCCGCAGAGGTCGGGCCATCTGGCTGCCGCTGGCCACCTGGCCCTCCCTGGGCCTGGGGCTGGGCAAGAGGTGGGGGTGGGGGAGCCAGGGCGTGGATTCCAGGAGAGCTGGAGGGGCCGGGCATACCCGCCCAGGTCTCAGCCCTGCTTCCTTATCAGGAAAATGAGATAACAGGGCCTCCCTCTTATTATGGTGAGATTAAAACCAGCTGGGAGAATCAGGGAAGGGAGGGAAAAAGAAAACGAGATGAAATCAGAGAGGGAAGCAAACTGTAAGAGACCCTTAGTCATAGGAAACAACCTGAGGGGGGCTGGAGGAGAAGGGGGTAGAGGGATGGGGTCACTGAGTGACGGGCATGAAGGAGGGCATGGGATGGGATGAGCACTGGGTGTTACCTACACCCAACGAATCACCGAACTCTACCTCAGAAACTAATAATACACTCTGTTAATTAATTGAATTTATATAAATAAATGACAAGCTAAGAGAAGCACTTAGAGACGTGCGGAGGCCAGAGTATGTGCTTAAGATTAAGGTATCGGTATCGGTGGTTACTCACAGAGAGAGAAGTGTGCAGAAGTCAGCCGTCGGGGTAGTAGGATATCGTAAAGTGACAGCTTCGGCCCCGTCTGCTCTCCATGCGGAAAAGGAAGAGAAAGACCCTCCTCACACTTGAGAGTGTGGACAGGAGAATCTTTGGGCTGAAGAGGCCGAATGCACCCAAGGAATAGCCCTTCATCCATTGAAAAGGTTGGGTGTGGAAGTGGGGGTATCTGTGAATGAATGTATGAATGAATGAATGAATGAATGAATGAATACACCTTCATTTCAGCACAGGTATTAAGTTCTTACTTTGTGCCTGATGCTGCCCCAGAGGGAGGGAAACAGAGGGGTCAGCATGCACAGGGGGCTGGAGGGGAACTACTGCCTCAGGTGTTGGGGGAACTCAAGGGGTTTGGCTGGGCTGAAGGACAAGGCTGGGGCAGCAGCAGGAGCCGGGGCTGGGGACAAGGACACTGCTGCTAAGATCAGGGAGCTTTGGAGGCAAAGGGGACCCTCTGAAGACTTGAAGCAGAAAAGAGGTCTGTGCATCCTGGGGCGGTGGAGGGGATGGAGGATGGCTCAGAGGGACCAGAGGTGAATGGGAGCTGGGGGATATGACACTGGGAGGGACCACAGTCTTCAGGAAGGAATAACTGTGTTTTGGCCACTAGAGAGGGTTTGGGAAGGTATTTAGGAGAGGAAGGAACAGGATTTGGTACTGGTGTGGGTGAGGGGCAAGAGTGGAAAGTATGGAACGAGACCCAGGTTCCAGCTTGGGTGACAAGTAGGGTGAGGGTGTCAGGGATGGCATGGAGATCTCCAGAGGTCTCACACAGAGCCCTAAAGGGCCTAGATGGGAAATGCTGGAGGTGGGTAGGGAAGCAGTGAGGAGGGAGGGATGACAGGTGAAGTGGAGCCCCTACGCCTGGCCCTCTAAGGGGGAGCCTCCAGCCATGGGGCCCCAGCTAACTGCGGCGTGGGAAGGCTTAGCACGCTTCTTCCAATTTCCTGGGTTCTCTTGGAAGCCAGGAATCTAGATCTTTAGAGAAAGCTCTTGATTTAGATATGTATTTTACTGCAGGCATATGCCTTATGTAATAAAAGCAGTAGAGTCACGGGTTCAAAATTCAAAATGCTATACCAATGTACATCTTAATATCTCCCCACCCTCCGCTGACTTACAGGTAACCTGCCAGTTTCCAACGTATCCTTCCACTGTTTACTAATGCAAATACAAACATAACATTCTTTACTCCCCAACCTTTTGTTATGAAGATATTCAAACATAAAGAAAAGTTGAAAGGATATACTGTGGACACCCGTGCCTTCCAACTGCTTCAGCTAATCCATTACCATACCTGATTATTCTCTCTCTAACACACACATACACACACACACTCACATGCTCACACACACTACAGCAAGCAGTTCCCAGGGACAACAACCTCCTGTATGATACAATACCACCATCACATCTAGAAAAGTGAACAATAGTTCCATAACACCTACTCTTCGGTCCATATTGAAATGTCCCATGGGGTGCCTGGGTGGCTCAGTAGTTAAGCCTCCGCCTTTGGCTCAGGTCATGATTCCATGATCGTGGGATGGAGCCCCACATCCGGCTCCCTGCTCAACGGTGAGCCTGCTTCTCTCTCCCCCTCTGCCTGCCACTCTGCTTACTTGTGCTCTCTCTATCTCTCTGTCAAATAAATAAAAAACTTAAAAAAAAAAATGTCCCAAGTGATCCGTAAAGATGTCTCATAGCTTTAAGATCCTTCCGGAACCAGACTGCAGTCTAGGATTGCGCATCCCAGCTGGTTGCTATGTGTCTTGTTTTAGTCTGAAATAGTCCTCCCACTTTCCATTTTCCCCTATTATCAACTTTTTTTTTTAAAGAATTTATTTATTCATTTGACAGAGAGAGATCACAAGTAGGCAGAGAGGCAGGCAGAGAGAGAGAGAGAGGAAGAAGCAGGCTCCCCGCCAAGCAGAGAGCCCGATGCGGGACTCGATTCCAGGACCCTGAGATCATGACCTGAGCCGAAGGCAGAGGCTTAATCCACTGAGCCACCCAGGCGCCCTCAACTTTTTAAAGTTCAAAATAGTTACGTTGTGGACAGTCCCACGTTGTGAATCTGAGTGATCATTTCCTTACAACGTTGTTTACCTTAATTGTTTTCTGCGAACTAGAAACTAGATGTAGAGGCTTGGTTAGCCAGGTAACGTGTTGCTGACCAGAATCTTGCATGGGGGATGCATGCCACGTTTGCTCTAATACTTGAGCGGGAGATTCATAATGTTATTATCCCGCTGTCGTGATGTGAAGTGTGATGACTTGGTCACGGTGGTGACCTGAATATATTCTTCTCTGCCTCCAATCACCTGTTTTAGGCGATAAAGCAAAAGGTAGTGTACAGCATATACCCTTGTGAACCTTGGAGGTTTCGTATGGAGAATTTCCTCTCTTTTAAGTAGCTTCCTAGTGAAGATGTATCAGAGCGTTTTTAATGGGTCCTTTCTAATGACAGACCCTTGAGCTGCTCTGTCATTCTCTGCTACCAATAATGCTGAAATGGGTAGATCTTTTGCCCATCTATTTCCTGGTTGTACACCTGTCATATGGGATAAATTCCCAGAAGTAGGACTGGAGAATCCGAAGGTATGTGTATTTATACTTCTGGTAGATAATGCCAATTGCTTTCCATAGGCTGGAATCAATTTATACCCCCTCTGGCAATGTTACGGCAGCGGCCCTGTTTCCAATAACCGCACTAACTTTTGGACAGTTTCCAATCTGATAGGCAACTATTGGCATCTTAATGTAGTTTGAATATGCATTCATCTTATTGTGAACGTGGCTGAGTGTCTTTTCATGTGTTTTAGGGACCATCTGCATTCCTCGTGTTTGTGTGTGAATTACCTATGCAATGGCTCGCTCGTTCTCCTTTTCTCCTCTTGATTTCTAGGAACTCTTTAAGGAAATTGCACCTCATTAAAATAAGTGGAAATATTTTTTTCCCGTTTGCCCTTTGACTCCTGTGAGTTTTGCCAAGCAGAAGTTTGTTTTTATGTAGCCAAAGTCATCAATCTTCCCTTTTCGGCTACCGGACTGTGAATGAGCTGGTATGGCCTTCATCACCCCAAGGTTACAAAGGAACTTACATGATTCCCTCTAGTACTTTTATGGTTTCATTTTTCTTACATTGAAATCTTTGATCTACTTAAAGTTTATCCTGCTGTAAAAGTAAAAAAATCTATTTTATCTTGGGTTTTTTTAAGTTGTCACATATTTCCAGGAACTTTTAAAGCAGTGTGGGCCAAAGTTCTCCTGAGTGGGGGAGACACTTCTTCTCCCTCTCTCTCTCTTCTTCAGATGACTTTGACAATGCCTACTTCACACTTTTGGGTGTCCCCAACAAACCCCTGCAGTGCTTGGTGAGTGTCCTTTACATCTGGCCCTGGGTTGGCTCAGGGGAGAGGGTGTGAAGGTCCTGCCTGTGCCCAGCCCCAAGTACCTGGGGTTCTTCACCTGCCTGCTTGGGCCCCTGCGTCCTTCTGATGTCCTATAAAGGGCTTCAGGTTCTCGGCAGGAACCTGGGTCGGAGGAGTCAAGTTGTCAGCCCCCGGCTATGGGATGGTCTGGGTCGAAACCCTAGGCTTCTGCAAATACCACTGCGGTTCTGACTCCCATCCCGCTGGCAGGACGTCACGGCGACCGGCCAGAGACTCCGCAACAGGTGCCGCGAGGGAAAGCTGGTACCCATCGTGCCGGGCATCAAGCGGGTCGACTGGCCCTGCTTCACGCGCGCCATTGAGGACTGGTCCCGCTTCGTATCCTCCGCCGGCGAGTTCAAGCTGCCCTGCCCGAGCAAGAGGGGTCAGTCTACCCGGCGCGGAGGATGCCCCAGGGTGGGAGAGGCCGGAGCACAAAGTGCGGGCAGGGGGCATCGGACGGACTGGGGCAAAGACGGCGGGGAAGCTGAGAAGCTTCTGGGGCACTTAGAGCGGGCAGGACCGAAAGGGCTAAGGGAAAAAGAGGTGGGGCTCTTCTTGGGGAGGGGGCAGGGGCCAGATCCCGGCCAGAGGGAGCCATTGGGGAGGAGGCTGAGCGTGCCGCGGACTGGGACTCTGGGAGCCGGATCTAGAGGCGGGACTGGCTCACCCAACAGGTGTGGGCGTGTTGGATCCAGGGGCGGGGCTCAGGTAAGAGCAGGGGCGGGGCTTGTTCGGGGAGGGCTGGGGGCTGGAGAAGGGTGGTGTCTCCACAGTTGAGAGTTTCAGTGGATATGCTGTGCGGTACTTGAAGCCGGAGGTGACTCAGAATTGGCGGGTAAGGAGGGCTGCGCGCTGACCTGTCCCTGGGGACCAGGCGGTCCGGGAGGATTGACTAACAAGTGGTTGGGGTAGGGTGAGGTGGGGGAAAGGACGGTCAGAGCAGGGTTTCCCAGTCCCCAGGAACAAGATCTCTGGCAGAGAGCGCTGTGGGGGGCGGGGGAAGGGGTCAGTGTTCCCCTCGGCTCACGGACCCCCCCATTCCTCTGGCCCGGACCAGTACTGTCTCAACCAGAACCCCAGCCTGGACCGCTATGGACAGAAGCCCCTGCCTTTCGACTCCTTGTAAGTGACGCCACAGGCCTCCGGGGCCCCCATACCTGGAAGAGGGAGGATGGGGTCTTGGTCACTTTCCTCGGAGCACCTTCAGTGACTCTTGAAAGTGTGAGTCCGGGGCGCCTGGGTGGCTCCTTGGGTTAAGCCTCTACCTTCAGCTCAGGTCATGATCTCAGTGTTCTGGGATAGAGCCCTGTATCGAGCTTTCTGCTCAGCAGGGAGCCTGCTTCCCCCTCTCTCTCTGCCTGCCTCTCGTCTACTTGTGATCTCTCTCTGTCAATAAACAAAATCTTTAATTTAAAAAAAAAAAAAAAGAAAGAAAGAAAGAAAAGAAAGTGTGAGTCCCGGGAGAACTGCCAGGTTCCAGTACATCACAAGGAAATTGACGTTTCAGAATGAATAGTTGTTTAATCAAACAGAGGGTCCTGTCCTCCAGTCCCTGACAGCCCCACCTTTCCGAGGGGAGGCCTTAGGTGGGACCAGGATGGAATGTCATCCTTCTGGTGGGATGGTGCCTCCCGAGATGGGAGTGAGGTTCCCGAGAGGGTCGACCTTCCCCACCTTGGGCTCACCTTCCTCATCCCTTTTTCACAGGAATGCTTTCCGACGCTTTGGTTCAATCTACAGGTAGGGGAACGACCCTGCTCCTGCTCCACACCCGGCCACTGTGGGCTCAGGAGACTCTCAGACCCCTCTCTACCCCGCCTGGCACCAAGGGATTGGTACCTCCTAAGTGACATCCAGGGGGCCGAGCTGCTTCCCTCCAGAGAGATCCACCCCAGGCGAAAGTGCACCCTACTGGGAGTTGGGGGGGAGCAGAGTTAGTGTCCCACCCAATTTGGCTCAGACTAGGCCAAAAGGAGGAAAGCTCACCAGGGAGGAGAGCAGGGGCCGATGGAGAGAACAGAGAGTTTGCCTTCTGGGATAGGGGATGCAGATAGGTCGGAAGGGCTGAGGCTTGTGTTCCAGTGGGAAGGTACAAGGTGTATGGTACTCAAACATCATTTGGCCATATCCCCCTTCCCTCCACAGCAGCAGTACCACACTCCAGGGTGTCCCCCGAAATCACCAGCACAACCAAGCCACACCTTTATCGGTGCTGTTTCAGGGCCTAGGCAATCCTTCCTTCCTTCTGGAAAATTCCTCCTCACCTTGAAAGCCCAGCCTAGGTGTCCCATCCTCTTTGAAGTCTTCTTCCCTGACCCTCTGCCTCTCCCCTCCAGTTCAAACCTCCTCAGGCTGGTCACCACAACTGCATCCCTATCTGATAGTCCAGAACCTATTGTAATATAATTATCAAGGGAAGGTTTGCCTTCTCCCACCTGCCCTGTGCACACACAGGGGTATTCTTCCTAATATTTTCCTACCATATAATGCCTGCCAGGGTAGGTGCACTAAATGCTTGAAAAATGAGTAAAACAGTGCAGGACTGGGGAATCAATGAGAAAAAAAGATGAAATGAACTGGAAGAGGGGGTGGCTTGAAAGTCAAGCAGAGTCTCTGAAAATATATAAACAAAAGGAACTAGGGAGCCATTGAAGGCTCCGGAGCCATAGACAGGATAGAAGTTGTGTTTTCAAAGCCTTGAGGATAGCAAGATGGGTTTGTGGGGCAGGTGTACAGAAGGATCGCTTGGTTTTCCCCAGGTCACCCTGGAGGTCTCTGCCTCACTCTGTTTCTCTCCACAGTCGTGTCAACTACCTGACCCCCTGGCATTAATCTGTGAAAAGGAAGCCGAGCCCCAGGCTGCTGGGCTATGCCACTCAGGTTCTCCAGCTGGATACAGGGTGTTTTGTGGTACCACCACCTCCCTTAATGTTCAGCCTGAGTGGAAATAAACCCAATAGTAATAAACCAGGCCTCTGTGTGTGTGTGTGTGTGTGTGTGTGTGTGTGTGAGCGCATGCTCTTTGCAGGGACCAGGAGAGGGCTCAGAACCTCAGGAGACACTGTCTTACCTTTACCTGCCCCGCCAACTCCTGGAGGACTGGTGGGGGGCGGAGAAAAATGTCTTATGACCACAAGTAAAGAGTTGGGGGTCTAAACTGGGTCAGCTGGGAGTGAGGTGTAGGGGCAGCCTGGGAATTGGGTTTTCCCTGTGCCCCTGCCCCCTGATTGCAGCCCCACAACTGAGCCCCCTTCACCTCAGACTTTGAACTTGGGCCCCAAAGAGACAAAAGGAGGTTTGAACGGGGTTTTTCGATACTGCTCTCAGAAGCTTCACCATATCTGTATACTCTAGGGGGCTTCCCCGGGCCCAGCAGGCTCCAGGGGCTAGAGGCAGCCTCCAAGCATGGAGCGAGAGTCACCTACTCTATCCATATAGCTTCAGGACTAGCCCTCAGATCTGTCCACCAAACTACAGAGAGGAAGGCATGACATCCTAGGGAGAGTCATGGGCTGTCCTGGGCCAGATATGGAATATCAAAAGCTAAGGAAGCGTATTTCTGGTGTGGCTAGGGAGAGCCAGGACCAATGCATAGCTCGCAGACCTTCCAAATACCCCACTCGCATCCCACTTGTGGGCAGTTTGCAAGGACAGGTCCCAATCTGGGTAAATAGCCACCAAGCTCTAAGACTATTTGAAAAGACCCCTGCTACTAGGACCTGGGGCCTCAGGGATCCTTGAACCTTCTGAAATCACAAGCAAAACTGCATGTCCCCCCACATATATATTTTCCCATGGAGAGGCTCCTTGTTTTCATCTGATTCTTGGGAGAGTCAGTGCCCACAAAGGTTAGGAAACCCTTGACTTACATTCTCCCCATCTTCTTCCACTAAAAATTACTGAGCACCTACTACATGCAAGCCGGGTCTCAGGTAGAAGGAATTTAAAGAATAATACCAGCCTCTTATTTCTGGCCCCTATGTTACACTGGTCAGAACATGTTGCCATGTGACTCATCTCCTCCACGCCTCATCCCCCACAACTACTCTGAAAAGTGACCAGAACGAATGGTATCCTATATCCCAGATAGGAAAACCGAGGCCGAGATCAGGAAGGAGTTCACTTCAGCCACATCCAGAACTCAGGACTCAAAGCAAGTCCCAACACTTGACACAGTGTTCACATACAGTCTGCGATCGATATCGTGGGATAAATCATTTCCCAGAATGGGCGGTCTTTTGTTCAAACTTGGGTAAGAAACAAGGAGATAAGCTGTGTCACTATTGTCTGATAATGTGGACAGAGCCTGCCCTACAGACTCTAGGCTGATTTTAATTTCTTTTCAGGATGGAGGTGATGGTTACTATCCTCATATTGAGGTGAGGGACCATGGCATCTGTCTCTCTGTCCTCAATTGTGGGATATGCTGACAACAGAGTGGGAGCATGGGGACGAGCGGGAGCACGGAGAGTGGTAAACAACAGAGCCCCTTCCTCCCTGGGGGCCTTTCGAGAAGGTACTCATCCTCCTGCCATTTCATGAGGAAAGAAACTCTTCCTTCCAAACCCAGCAAGCAGTCCCCCTGGCCTGAACCTCGGGAAGCCCCTGGCAGAACCTCTTGGGGATGTCAGAGCCCCATTCTGCAAACCTGAGTGCCTCCTCCAACATGACAGCTCAGAGAAGAGATAGATTTGCCCAAGACCCCCATCACAGCAGGGATGCCAGAGTCCTGGCCTTTGTGGGGCTGGGGACTGCAGGAGAGCATACCTCAGTGTACCAGATGGAAGCAGGTGCCTGGGGGGGGGGGGTTTCCTGGCCCTGCCTCCTTGATGCTAAATGAATGGGCAAGGCCCTCTGGGAGTTTGGCCCTGCAGACATTTGAGACTTACCCGGACCCATGCTGGGTGCAGGAAGGACACAGACCAGATGCCATCCCTGCCTGGGAGATGTTTCCAGTCCAGGAGGAGGAAGGCAGGCCCAGTTGGTTTGAACTGGAAAGCAGAAGGTGAGAATGTGGGCACACCTAGACCATGTTCCTCAAGTCCAAGACACCATAAATGGTAACCCACACCAGCAATGGAATTAGGTTCTTGCTCACCAATTGTACACTTAATCCTGATTCCACAGACCTAAAAATGGGTGCCCAAGAATAAAGGAAATGCGGAGTAGTTGAGCATTAACAAGCCTGACTCAGGATATACTTTTTAAAATTAATTTATTTATTTTTAATTAATCTCTATGCCCAACACGGGGCTCGAACTCAGGACCCCAACCAAGATCAAGAGTCACATGCTCTTCTGGCTGAGGCAGCCAGGCACCCTAACACTTTCTATTTTTTAAGTGCAAGACAATGTATTAAACACTTTGCAGACACCATGAGGTGGGTAATTTTAGACCCAGTTTATGGGTGATGAAATGGACTCAGGGAGATTAAGTGCCTGGCCCGAGGTCACACTGCTGGTGATTGGCAGAGCTGGCAACCAAAGCCTGCCTACCTGACCCTTGAGCTTGCACACCACATTCCACTGCCTTCCCACTATGAGAGAAATACAAGCCAAGAGTGGGGAGAAAACCCAAGGGGGCTTCCTGGAGGCGGGGACATCTGATAATCCCACCCAGAGGCCAAGAGATGGGAAGAAGCCCCACTCCCACCTAGTCTGGGTCACTGTCTCCTGGCCTCGAAGTCCCTTCAGCCTCAGGGAACTCCTTACTCAGCATAAATAGATCACCTTAGAAAGATTTCTTATGTCCGCTACCTTGGGGACAGTCCAGCCTCCATGGCCTCACCCACAGGTTTTCCTGGCCAGGCCTCCAATCCACGTCCCTAGCCCTGGGGCTCAATGCATTACCCTATACCAAACTCCCCACCAGCCTCCTTGCTGTTCTGAACACCCGGACTCTTGCCTGCCTCCTCACCTTTGTTCAAAGCCTTCCTCCCACCAGAAATCCCTTCCCCATCTCTTCCTACCCAAGTCCCACCATTTCTCGGAAGGCAGCCTCTCTCAAGTGCTCCCTTCTCCCCGCCAGTCTTCCCCGATACAATAGAACAACTCCTAGCCTCTGGCCCACAGTTGGCTCTAAGGAAATACTGCACTTGGAGGTTTCTTTTATCTCTCTGAGTGAACAGGGAGGCTTAAGAATGGGGCCTGGGGCCACCTAGGAACCACACACAGATCTGGGCTAAATGAAACAACTACTACAAAGTAATAGTTGTGTTCATGACAAAGTAACACACAAAACACATCCTCACCCAGGGCCTGGGGCTGGCAATGGGGATGGATCAGGGGTGAGGGGAGGGTCAGGGAGGACTCACGCTTAATCTTTTGTGCTAAAAATCTGAAGCTTTGACATTTCTGACCCTACCTTTTGATACGTGAAATCCTCAAACCTCTCTCCTCTAAAGTCTTAGCTGTGTGCCCCTGCAGCAGCAGCTCAGGGATGAACAAAGGCAGGAACGCAGACCTAGGTTGAGGAGGCACGCACAGGGAAGAGGGAGACCCCACAGGCACCCCCTATTCCCACCCCTCCTGTTGACCTCCTTCTCAGGACCCCGAGGAGAACTGGGCATCCCGGGCCTAGAATCTTTGTAGATTTGTGACAATTAATAGGGCCACGGCTTTTCCCGGAGGCATGACCTTCAAGGAACAAAGAAACACCCCCCATCCACCTTTGAGGATGGGATGTGGACTTATCACAGCCCAGCCAGGCGCAGCCTAGGAGGCCCCGGGCCAACGTCCAAGACTGGAACAGCCCGTGGGCCTGTCAGGCCTGCTCTGGAGGAGGAATGAGGGAGGGAGGTGGGAGGTCAGGATGGAGGACTGGAGACGCACAGAAAACTTCCACAAAGGTGTCTGAGGAGGCCTCTGCGCAGATGGGGAGACAGAGCCTGGTGGCTTTAACCCCTCAAGGAGTCGAGGGCCCACCAGAGGGCTGGCCACCCCCTCTGCCAGCTGGTGAGGAGCTTTCCTACCCCCTGGTCGGACCGGAAGCCAGCACTGGGCCCCAGCACCATGGCCAGCCACTGTGCCCGGCTTCCTGGGCCGCAAAGAGCAGGTTGGAACCAGAGCCCCAGGCCTGGGAGGTTCAGAGCCCAGGGCTGACCCATCCCCTGTCTGTTCCCTACCAGACCAGCCCCCACAATTCCAGGCCTCCTTCATCACCAATGTGTGGCTTTGGTCAGCCAGAAGGGACTACTCAGGTCTGCCCAGCCCATCTCCTGGAGATGGTAGGAGGCTCTGACCAGCAGGTGGAGGGATAGGGGTTATGAGTGAGGTGTCAGGGTAGGGGTTAGGAGAGCCCCGACATTAGAGGGAAGAGTTAGGGCAGCCCCTCTGGCCTCTGACTTCCAACTGTTCTGCTCTCCTGAGTGGCCACCATATTCCCTACCCTCCACATAAGCCATTTCACTGTGCCCTCACCCTAGAGTTGCCAACTCCCAAGTGGGAGGTTTCTGTCCACCTCTCCCTCTTGCTCCGCCCCATCAGCGGTCGTCCTGATGTCAAAGCTCACCCCAAGGTCCCACCTTCACCCTATGCTGTCAGTGGTCGGGGCAAAGTGTATGATGCCCCAGAGACCAAAGGAGGTGGTATGAGTTTACACCCTGCATCACAGGGTCCAAAGTCCCCTCATGAAAATGCTCAGCTCTACAAGAGGGAAACTCACATCCACCGTGGGACGCAGGACATTGTGGGGGCTCCTGGGCCTGTGGGTGGGCGGTGATCAGCTGCAGCGGACACCTGCTCAAGCCAGTCTGCACCACTCCTGCCGCTTACAGCTGAAGCCAGGCTGAGACAGGAAGACCACAGACTGGAGGCCAGGAGAGGGAGGGAGAG